TGTCCAGTAGGGATGAGTCAGAAAAAAATGTCTCTCGGTCTTATATATAGAGCTCTGGGAAACAGACAAATAACCCCCTACACATGAGTGTTCTTCATGGGTGCCCTGCCTGCCCTATCAGTTAGGAATTAAAACACTACCTACCCTGCCACTCATTCACAGATTCACAGTATGGATGTCTAACTAGTTACTCAAGTGAATGTTGTCATTCCATACTCGAAATTAAAATAGTATGGTTTTGGGTGTTGGGTTTTGTATTTGATGTTTTTGCTTTGTTTGTTTGTTTGTTGGGTTTTTTGGTATGTGTTTGGTTTGGTTTTTTGTGTTGCTTTTTTGTTGTTGTTTTTTTGATTTTGGTGCCAAAATAATGTACAAACTTCTGTCTCCAACATCAGTGATCTTCTCTCTTTTCTTTCCAATTTGAAGACTCACACTGAGGAAAAGCTTGATCTTCAGAGTTTCATGATGTGAATCAACCACTAGCAGTCTACAGGTTCCTGTAGCAATTGTAATACAAACTGATCATGTCTTTCAGTTTTCTCAGTCTAGGTTTGTGCTGTATTTCAGACCACAGGCATCCACTTCAGAGGCGCATAAAGCTGAAGAGGATTGTTGAGGTTGTTCATTCAGATGTTTATAAACATAAACAAAAATTGAAAGCTGTGCATTACACATGTAAAAGTTCTTTTTACAGTCTCTGTGTGTTTGCCTCTTTTTATGACGCTTGTGAAGCAGCTTGTGGTGAGAGATTGATTTTTACGGTAGATTTTATACCATGTAATAGATGTATCCTGAAGAAATGGATCTCAAAGTGCTGCTATTTCCTCACTCTCTTCCCAGCAGAACTCTGTGCGTGTGTTGTAAATTCTGTTGATTTTGACTTCTAGTTTAAAAGAGTCAGTTATAGGATACTTTCAGGATTCTCTAGGATATTGCAATATGGTGATTTGTCTGCCAGATAGTTTAACTCTGAAGAGTGCAGAATTGCTATCAGGATTGCTTGCAGTGCCATAATCTGCTGAACTGTACACCTTCAGATAATTACTTAAAGGTATCAGTTACTTTATTTAGGTAAATGCAGATAATTTTTAAAATCTATGTATGGAAAATAAGCTCCAGCATCCGAAATAGACCATACTATACTATGTGTGATGTTCCATAATGGGTAAATCAGGCATGCATAGCCTCTGTTGTGTTTGTAGTTTTGAGAAAAAGCCAAATTTCTGTCCATAGTCAGGGATGTTATGGCTCTTTTGAGTACACTTAGACTTTTAAGAAAACCAGTGCTTTAGGTCAGACCTCCTTCTGAAGCCTCTGAAATAGCATGTGTGTAGTGTCCTAGGAGTACAGGGTCTTTAGAAAGTCAGTAAACTTGATTAATTGGTCTTGTTACTTCTTGCCTAGATCAGGGAGTTATGGTATGTGAATTTCTTTTAAATAGTGTGGTGATTTATTTCTTTAAAGGTAAGTAAGTAGTTGTGTGTCAGGGATTTTTTCAACTAGTGTGTTGAAGAAGATTGATTTGTTATTGTTCCCACAAGATGGAGCTATCTACATATGTAATTAATATGGAATTTATACTGCAAGTGAATCTTAAGGAATTCTGTCAAAATGCTGGTTTAAATCACTAATCACCATTTTATCAGTATTCCTCTAGAAAACAGTATCATGCAGAACATAAAATAGTGATTTATTTATTTTTGAGTAAGGTAGAGTGATCTTGTGGTTAAGGCAGTGTGTCAGGATGTTCACAGTATTGATTTCTTTCACTCAATTTTAAACATTGATTTTCTGTATGATTTTGAATTAAATATTGTGACAATGCTGCTGAAAATTATAAATCAGTACTTTAACTATTGTGATAAAACTGAAATATAAGTAATTTTGATACTGAGAAAAACTAATAAATATGGATTTTATAAAAATGAGTACTGTATTGCCTCTGATACATTGTATGTGCTTCCAGAATGTCTGTCTGTGTTGTCTGGAATTGTTTGATAATATTTTAAACAGAAATGTGCTGATCACAAATTATTTCCCTCTCTCAATATTTTAAGAGCATGTCTGCCAGTTTTGGCAGATCTGAAATCATTAAAAAGGTATCAAGACAGCCATGCTGGGCTGCAGCTACTGGATTATTATATAACTTCCCAGAAATTGCCAGGCAATAACTAAGTCCAAAAAGACACTTTTCTACTTCTACTTTTTTTGGTATCAGCACATAAAATTTGGTGGTATGAACTTAAGTATTGAGTTCCTCTTGTACCATCTTTTTGCAGTCTTGTCTCTCATTTTAGCTATATTTTGTCTACTGTCTTTTACTACCATTTTCACGTAGAGTTAGGTTACACAGTTCACAGCTGTGAGTACGTCGCCTTCGATGGAAGTCTCCTGTCTTTGTGATAACAATTCTCCTTTCTCATTTACCTTTGAGATCATTGGAAGGAGGCCTAAGCTTGGAGACTCTGTACACCCTTAAATAAAAGGATCAAGGAAGTAGTAATAAATTTAACTTTTTTTTCCTCTTTTATGCTTTGGCATCCAATGCAGTATAGTTGGTGAGTCCAGCCCATTCAGAAGAAGCTCAGATGTGCCTGCTGTATAAAGGCACTATCTGATGCATCTGTTCCTCCTAATCTTTTTATTTCTTCTCCAGAAATGGTGCTCTAGAGACAGGTGGATGTCCCTCTGTGTCCCCCCTGTAGATTCCAATATCTCTTACCCTTTTCTTACAGACACAGAGCAGCACTTGTGTAACCAGCGTGTACTGTGTATTTTGTAGCACTACACTGTCAGTTTTTGAACCTTTTTCTTATCCCCTCCCCATTTCTTTACAGGTAACAGTGGTATGGTCTGCATGCTTTTCCCCATGTCTTCAGGTTGCCTAATGAGAGCTCACTCGATGCTGACTGTCTTGCACCTTTCTTTCCTCTCAGGCCAGGTTGCTGTCTCTCCCTCCAGCTAGCACCAGGTTCTGGGTGCAGGTGTTTCCCACTGGCAGGTGTGGGTCACTCATGATCTTCCTTCATAGCCCTTTAAACCTCAATCGTCCTGTGCAGCCTTGAGGGGTCCCTTTCAGGCAGTCTAATTGGAACCTCAGGAGGAGAGACTGGCTGTCACACATTTGCTCCTTCCAACTGTCATTTCAAACTGTGGTGGTGGAAAGGGTGAGGGATATTTTTGCCTATGTGAACCACTTAATGGATCCACAACCTTGGATTTTCCCCTGGTGCACTTTGAAGGAAAGAGCCTGCTTTTCAGTACCATAGCCTTATTTGCTTATAAATCGTAAGCAAAAGGGAGATATTATAGAAATATTTTATTGAATAGATTTTTCCCTGTGAAAATATGTGTGGAAAGCAGGTGATCAGGAATTTACTTCCTTCCTTAGGCAACTAGGACAGCTTATTACCTTCCTCATTCCTCTTACTTAAGTTACTTCTCTGAGTATGTTGTCCAAGATCCGAAGAACTAAAAAATTATGAAGAATCTAGTTACAGGATTGTTTTCAATCTCTCCTACACCCTCTTCCTCATTGAAAGGTCACATTCTTGTCAGACACTCAGGTACAGGTCTGTTGAACAGGTGGTGATGGTGACTCGAGATCCTGGCAGAGCCCAGCTGTCTGGTTAGAAAAGAGGATCTTGAAGGATATGGAAAGTCATACTTGTCTGAGAAGACTGGAAAGGAAGTACTTTCTAGTCAAAAGTTTTAGAGGCTTTGACTCATTGTTGCCTGGGTCTTAAACTTCAGAATGTATTTCTACAAGCAACACTGAGACCATTGAAACTTCAGACTTTCTTTTTTCTTTCCCCAAATCTTAAGATGTTTTGAATTTCTTTAATTTTTAAAGCAGGTTCTTACAGATTTCTGGAGACAAGTTTGCAATTATGAAAAGAAATGAGAAACTACAAATGGCAGTTAAAATTTTTTCAATCTCTTGATTTTTTTGAATGCCTGTAGTTTGCAGTATGAACATGTTCATATATGTATGACTATATCATCCTTGTATTGCCATTCTCATTCTATCTTGAAAGCTCCTTCAAAAATTATCTGCCTTTTCTGTTTTTGCTATATCAAGTTACTAATAGAATTTTGGAGCTGCCTTTGCCTTACCTTGCTTGGGAGACTTCATACCTTTTATTTCCAGCACAGTTCTCTGTAATACCTCTTTTCTTGCTTCCTCTGCTAAGTCTTAAGCTTTCAGTTGCCCCCATCTCCTTGGCTCACTCTCATGCTTGAGCGTTTTTCCAAGCTATTTCTGACTCAGGTCAACAATCTGTGCCAGCAATTTCTCGTGGAGTCATGTTTCCTGGTTGAGGTTTATAAGAGTACTATTCAAGCAATTAATAAAATAAACCAAAAGACCTGATTTTATCCATTCCTGAAAGCTAGATCTCATTGAGGTAGGAGGCTTAGGCATATGCGTGTCACGGTTTTTCTCTAGGAGATGCGGAGCATGGGCAGGAGCAGGCAGGGAGCAGAGGGGGTTGCCTTCTGCCAAGCACCCGGCTGCTGCTGAACAGTGCTTTGGTCCTTCTGCCTGGAAGCACTCAGCTCTGATTTAGTTGGATAACTCTGATGTTAGGAGTACCAGAAAAGCAAATTTGTATGTTTGCACTTCTTTATATTTAGCAAAGAGTGGAATTTGATGGAAAAATGATCCATGCTATTGGAGGTGGTCAGAGAAACTGATTCTTTTGTACTCGTATTTGAGCATTAGGGCATGAGTAACAGACCAGTGAGGCTCAGGTCAACCATGATGTAACTGGTTAAGCACCTGGATTAGTGCCATAAGGGCTGGGTTCAGTTCTCAGTTTTGTGCCATCTCTTTCTTTTAATGTTGATTTTGGTTGAGTGGATTACAAATTATGCCACTGTAACATCAAGTTTGAGTGCTTTTATTTTCTTTTTAAGAAAGGAATTTCAATAAAGATCCTTGCATACTATTTTAACTGGGGAAAAAAGTAAACTTTGATCTTCTTACTTGTGTTTAACAGGTCTGTATATGATGACCAACCAAATGCCCACCAGAGGTTTATGGAAAAACTAGATGCCTGCATACGTAACCATGACAGGGAGATAGAAAAGATGTGCAATTTTCACCATCAGGGATTTGTGGATGCTATTACAGAACTTCTTAAAGTTAGGGCTGATGCAGAAAAATTGAAGGTAAGGAACTAGCTTTTAAAAGTTTCACGTATCATTGCCTTTGAATTTAAAAGAAGGAACTTTTACCGAAGAACAATAGTTTTGTGATTATCGTATAGACTCTCATGTTTGCGGCAAGTTTTTAACTAGGGAGTATTTGGGATTTGTGATCGTAGCCACATTGCCTGATCTAGTAGTTTACATTTACAAAGCTGAATATTTTTTTAGCTCAAATTGATTTTTTTTTTTAAAAAGTATGTTTTCCAGAAAATGTTACCAAAATTGTTTTGCCTTTTCTAAGAGCTTTCTCAGAAGATAAATAAGTGGTAAAACCAAAATATTTCTTACATAGGTCTTTTAAAAATCATGCATTTATATGTAAGACCTTAGAAAAAATACAATTTTTACTAAAAAAATAAAGATACTGTAAGTATGCATGAAAAAAAAATTCAGTACTCTGTAATAAGTAGGAAAATAGGTGGAGTTTGTAGTTTTCGTTAGAAATGAGAACTAAGATTTACTCCCAAATCAGAATGCAGAATAGTGAATTATGAGATCCATCCCTTTTAGCTCTCTTTACACTTTTGAGAGCAAAATATGCACACCAGACAGAATGAGCATAGTTCATCAGAGGTTATGATTAAAAGAGCATTATATAAAGGATATTCAGATAACAAGAGACCAAATACAGCGTCAATGAGGTCATTGAGCATCTTTGTTCAGAAATTAATGAGATTTTTAATAAACTAGAATGTGCTTCCTTATTACGATGACCTAATGAGTCACTTACTATGTGGGAAAATCTGAGGTCGAGCTTTGCCTGCACCTGCAGCATTAAAATGTTGCTGTGGTTTGGAGATTTCCACGTTTGATGTTAATCAACCACCCAGTGTTTGCATTCAGCAAAGTATGAATGTTTAATTACCATAAAATGCAATCACCATTTCTTACAGACAATGAATGGCCCATAGAGCTCATTGAGGTTATCAAAAAGGGACCAGTGGTCAATTGGGTCAATGATTTGAATTGTTTGACAGACCTACAGAAACAAGGAAAGTTCAAAAATCCCAAGTAAATTTGAGAAGTTTGCCACAGAATCTGTTAGAAAGAACTGTCATAAGTAATTGAAGTTAACAAAAGCCCTTTGCGATCAAAAGTTCAAGTTCAAGCTGTAGAGTTAATTTGAATTTGCATTTCTTTGTTCTAAGTTTCTCATGAAGCATGATCTGATTACAAGGGTGAGCAGTCACATCAGGGCAATATATGCATATTTGTCTAACAAAGGTGAAATTATTTTTAAGGTCCAAGTTACTGATACCAACCGAAGGCTTCAGGATGCTGGGAAAGAGGTGAGAATATGATGGTTCCTATATGGGCTTTATGAATATTTGTAGTAAATTAAATTTATATGTGTAATTTAATTGTGGGGTTTTTTTAAATTTTTTTTTCCTTTTTTTTCTTCTTTTTTGTTGGTTTTATTTTGTTAAATCTCTAAGGTGATAGCCCGAACAGAGGAAATCATCCGATGTAGAGTTCAGCAACGGAATATCACAACAGTTGTGGAAAAACTGCAGCTGTGTCTTCCAGGTAAGTGACCTACAGCTAAATATAATGGCAAATCGAATAAAATAAGTAACAATAGCCAAAATGTGAAAGAATTTTATTTTCTAAGTTGTAGTCCTGAAGGATCCAGTTTAACGAAAGAATTAATGGGTTTGAAAAGGATGTCCACATGTAGGTCCCGTGTCTTTTACAGTATTTGACGTAGAGCAATGATGCCACTTTGTGAGAAGACAGCAAGATGAATAAATGATTGGAACAGTGTAGCCACATACAGCTTTAAATGAAATAATATTTTAATATGATGATTAGCAATTTCTTTGCTTATGACAGTGGGTATTTACTGTTTGAATTCTATGGAAAATATTAGTGATTCTATTTCAATATTGTAGTTTTAGCGCTGTGCCATTACAGGTTGGTTTGTTTTTTTAAAAAAAACCAACACAACCAAGCAATGTAAGAGCTCTAATTGATGTTTCAAAAAGGTAATATCATGTGATTGCCTGCAGCTCTATAAGGATTTTATCCTGTTCATGATATTAGTGTAAAATACATTTGAGAAGTTTTCTTTGTAAAGTTTTGTTGTTGACTTCTTACAAGTACGGTAGGTGGTACTGTTGCCATTTAATGGAGACAGGTCATAGACTGTGAATGAAGAAAAAGTTATGGTATGTCGTAAATGAATGAATATGCTTGATATATATATAATGTCTACTGTTTTGTTTAATCTTAATTATTTTTCACTTAAAAGCTATTAAGAATTCAGTTATTTTTTTCTTATCTGCATTCTAGAATTTTTTGTTGTTAGTTACATCACAGTTTTGTTACAGTAGGAATTTGAGAAAGTAAATTTAGCATATTCTTTTCTATTTTATTTTGTCCTTTACAGTATGTATTTTGCTCTTTTGTTAACTAAAGTCACAATAAGATCCATGGGTTAATTTACTTGTTTTTCTACAGTGCTGGAAATGTACAGCAAGCTAAAAGAACAGATGAATGTAAAAAGGTGAGTGAACTTATTTGTATGAGTAAAATACAACTTCTTTAAATAAACTGATAGGATAGCAAACATTAATATAGACAAGCAAATATTCTGAGTCTTGTAGTTTGGTATATAAAGTCTTCTTTTTGTAATATCTGTGTTTCAAGAATGTCACTGGAGGTGAACAAATGTATTAAATCTAAAAACTTACAGGAACTTAGTGATTGCCATGAAAAGTAATGTTTACTTAAATAAACATGACATGCAGTGAAATTATGTTTGTAAAATGTGACGTAGAATATATTTTTTTTTAATTTTTAAATGAGTTAAAGAAGTAAGAATAATAAGAATCTTAGGGAGTAAAGATCTTTGCAGAGTACATTAATATTTGATTAATTTATCATGCTGTATTTAAATAAAATTAATAATCTAATAAAAAAGGACGTTTAACTGTATGTACCTTTCTTCAGACCTATTTGATATCTCTGTCCTAATATTTTGTGTACATGGGACTAAGGGACTGAAGTGCAGAAAATGTATTGTGGAGTTTTTACCTGACCAGTTGCTTCTTCCTCTGTCTTCACTTTCCATCTCCTTGGACAGCCACCCACTGCTGCTGTAACCCCAGTATCTCCCGTTCTCTCTCCATGGTAGCTTGGCTTCCCCTGCCCTGCTGTAGCTGTAGTTCTGTCCTACTGGGGCTGCTGCTGCCTTGCACCTCATGCACACCCACCCCAGGAATACTGCTGCTGTTTTCTTCTTCCTGATTCCTACAGCATTATTGCCACCCTCATCCCTGCTGGCTTTTCATACAGCCTCAGTCACCCCAATTGCTTTGTTTTCCCATGCTGGATTTACAATTATTGTCATTGCTTTTGTGTTCCTGGCACCACTGCAGTGAGCGCCTGCTAAGAAGTCTTCCTGGACCTGACTGTTTCCATTTGGAACTAGCTCTACATAGGCAGGTGTCTACAGGGCTACCATGTAATCTATATTACTTCTCGACTGCCTGGATTTCTGTGGTCTGGATAGCTAACACCTCTTGCCGTACTGCTGGATCTCAAAATCTTTGACAATGACCACTGTATATGAGCAAACTGGCTCTAAAGCCCGTGTGCAGACATGTCCAAAATGTGTCAGATTTGCTATACGCATCAACTTGATCAGCATTGCAGCAAATCTGATGCATCTTTGTCAGTGGTTTGTGTGCTACATGATACCTTTGCACACATGCTTTCTGGGAGGTCTTCTGCAGAAATATCCAAGCTTTAAGAATAATGTAATAGCTATGGCACTATGCTGTCTCTTATTGCAATCAAAACTTGGTAGTTGTTGAGCCAGTGTGGTAGGTCTCATCAGCTTGACTACTGCACACTGTTTCATCCAAAGAGAACCTTGGTTTGACATCTGCTTCAAGTAGCTGGCAGTGTGTTGTGGCAGTGCTCTTTGAGCTGCTCAGTGGAAAGATGTAAACGGTCCAGTGCCCTTACTACTCTGGTCAGAGAACAAGCTGCAGGGTGTGCTGTCTGAATTGCACCTCTTCTTTCTACAGGGTGGTCTCTAGAGTGTGCTATATTTTGTATGTTGAAAACATGAAAATGCTGGGGTCAAGGCCTGCATTTTGCCATTTCTTTGCTCTGTCAGGCAAGACAAGCAGCATCCTGGTTTCAGTATTGCAAGGGAAGTTACAGTTCCTAATGTCAACATGGAGAGATCACTTACGTGAGATAAAATTGTATATGGCTTTTAGCATTTTGACTCCATGTTCACTAGTAGTTTGGTGAAGTACACTGATGGTCAATGTGTTTTCTGAGAAATTTTCAGTACTCTTTTAAAGTAAAACTAAATTTCTGTTGTTTAAGAGATTGAGATCTGGAAGTTTTCCTGTGGAAGGAGTTGCCAGACAGGAAGTCCTAAAAGTCAAAAAGTGATGTACTGAATGGAGGGGCTTGGACGTGTAATTGTCATACCACAAAAAGATCTAAGGGAGAAAGGAGATGACATAGCTTTGATGTACCATACCTTGAGATCACATGGAGTGCAGAAGGTTTAGACTCTGCTGCAGGCTACTGGTCTAGCTCAGGTATCTCTTTCATTAGTTACTCTACAGTTACTACTTTTCCTGTGACTCAACAATTCCCTATAATACAGCCCAGAAGTGGCTACCCTGGGAACACGCAGGTACTTCTAACAGTAATTTCCTTGTCACACAGCAGACAATTTCAGAGAGTGAGTGTATCCTTGCTTTTATCACTAAGTGATTGAGTAGTAGCAAGGACATCCATAGTATTAGTGCAAAACCTGATAGCTGGTGTGTGCAGATAAAGGGAGTTTCAAAACTGACCTTCCTAAGTTTTGCTGTGAAGCTTTCCTGGAAAAGTCAGAGAGTGGAGCATTCACAGTCCCTGTCTTAACAAAACAATGAGGTATGTTTATTTTAGGCGAAGATAGTTTTTTGTATAAACCTTTACTGAGGTTTGTTAATGGAGCAAAGCTTTCACTGATCTTCTTTAAAAAAGACCTCTTTTATTTTTACTTTCTCTGCTTGCAGCCTTTTAGAATATATTTTAATTATTCCATTGTCTTACAGTCTTGCAGTATGAATTTCTAATGTTTAAATGAAGGAAAGAAGAAAGTAAGGATTTTCTGCATTTTTATGGGACAGGTGTTTTAGGATAAGGATTGAAATTTCATTTCCTATTCTCTGTGGTGGACATCTTTTAAGATAATGCAGAATTTTGGGTCTGTATTACAAAAAGCCATGTATTGATAGCAACTTTTAAGTCCCTACGAATGTTTGAACTGATGGCACAGAGGTGAAAGGCTTTGTATCCTATTTATCCGTTTCCTGAGCCACGTATAACACAAGTTGACAAGAACTATAGCTGTGAGAGGAAGTAACAGCCGAATCTGCTCTAAACAGACACAATTGGCTGGATAGAGTTATGGAGGGTTTCAAGTCTTAGCCGAGGAAGCAGAAAGGGAGACATGCATTTTCTCCACTGCTTTCCAAAACACCTGTTGGGTGCTATGCATTAAGACTGACTTACCTACATCTTTAATTTTAAGTTGAATATAGTATCATCACACATTTTACACATCTCAATTGCCGCAGACCGTGCATTTGGATTTTGATGTGTCTCTAGAGAAAATTCCTAGGTGTTTCAAGAGATTGTGGTCCAGTTGGGAATTGTTAGAACTGGTGTTTTTGCAAGTCTTCTTCCACAGTAAGTATTAGAAAAAAACACCAAACTTACCATACAATTAAAGTAATTAAATAAATGGATCTGCTAAGGTTGTTGCTGGATCTTCTCAGCTCTCCTGTGAAAAGGATTAAAGAGAGAGTACGGTCTTTCAGAGTGAGCTTTTTGTGCTGAAATACTTGGATTTGTTTTCTGACATTACTATAAGCTTTCCTCCAAACTGGGGAAAGGCAAAGTTGGTTAGTAACTGAGGTTACTAAGTCTCACTGTGACAACCATGCAGCCTTTCTCTGAATAGACCTTCCAAACATTCGAATATGCCTTAAGACATAAAGGATGCAAATAGAAAAACTTTATATAAATTTCATTCTACCCATGTCTATAAGGAAAGATGCTGAAACAGCTCTTGTTTTTTCAGTAGGGAATTTTGGGACATTGCTATATGTTTCTTTGCTCGAAAGGCTTGTGTACAAATGTGTTATTGTCAGCAAAATTCATAGCATTTGAGTTCATCTTGCTCCTGTCCTCTGTAGCTTCTTGACTGCTGTAGTTTAGCATGATGGGGCTTTTTTACTAAATGACAGTATTTCTTGTAACCATTTCCAGATTACACTCTGCTGATGAAAATGTTAAAAGTTCTCTTTGCCATTAAAACATAACTTAATATTTAGTGTACACTAAAGTAATGGTCAGTTTCTTTTTATTTTGGATTTTTTTTGTGTTGATGTTTCAATTTCTAATACAGACCTGACTGCTCTTTGCCTGTGACTTTGACATTTTGTAAAATATCTGCTCAATTACTGAAAAAGATGATGTAAAACACTAGTATTAATCTTCAGGAGTTCTTTGTTGTGTTTGTTCATTTTTTTTCCCAGATTAGCTTCTTGCTGGTTTTAGAAGTTTCCATTTCCATTTTTATCTTACAATATGACCTCTATTGTTGTTTCAACCTTGTGTCTTCAGTTTCAGAGCTTACATTATAAATTTTGTGCTGGGGAACATACCTTGCATCTTACAAGATTATCTCAGAAGAGTGGATGGAGGACATATATATTAAAAAGATAACACTGAAGATACTTTAATCATTTGTAGACAAATGGGCTATCTTCACCTTAGATTATTGTAAATATATGACAGGAATTAATAAAGTTGTCAAAATCTTCAGCATTGAGTTAAATCTATGGAATGATGCAAAATATACAAATACATAATTCCATGAAATGGTAGGCAAAACTTTTTATTTTAAATCCTGACCTTCAAGTTAATAAGACTTCAATGCTTTATCAGAACAGATGTTAAAAGGGAAAGGTCATGATCTTCATATATATGTAATTAGTAAGAGACTCTAGAATGGATTTAAAATGGATTATGTTAATTATGATCTTAGAGACAGCAGTCAAAAACCTTCCAGATAAACTAACAGTGTTCTGATAAGCTGATCCATATAATTTAAGGAGAAAGCTTTTATATGATTTTGATGCTATTACAGTTTTATTCCCTGAAAGTCTCACCATGTGGCACTCTTGGTTATTTACGATTTAAAAAACACCCCCCCCAAACCACACACACGTAAAGTCCCCAGACTCCTTATCTGCAACATTCCCGTTGCCTTAAGTACGTTTTCTGTAAACCAAGTGTAAAATAAGTGTAAAAAAAATAAAATAAAGCTCCTAATTTTGAAACCACTTTATGTACAGTCTCTTATATGGAATAAAAGAGAAGATTTTTCTCATCCTCCAACTGCGCTGAATTGCTAATTTAGAAATGTTTTGATTGAGAAAATTCAAAACAATGTATATATTTCAGAGTGAAACAAGAAGTTATGACTGAAGTATGAATAATTTGATTTTTATCTCTTTGTAGATACTATTCTGCTTTAAAAACAATGGAACAGCTAGAAAACCTGTATCTTCCTAGAGTCAGCCAATACCGGTTTTGCCAGATAATGATAGAAAATCTTCCAAAACTGCGTGAAGAAATAAAAGAAATATCCATGTCAGATCTCAAGGATTTCTTGGAGAGTATTCGAAAGCATTCTGACAGAATTGGGGAAACTGCCATGAAGCAGGTAAGCTGACCTAACACGATGACTTCTATCCTGTTACCTACTGAAAATCTCAGTGTCAGTAGTCTCAGGTTAGCCCTAAAGATTTGCCTAAGGTTTACAGTTGTCACATAGACCTTTGAGTGAAGATGGAGAGCTGTGAAATGCTTGCTAACATCTTGGGTAATTTCTTCTCCTGTACATAAAGTTGTCAATGCTAGTCATCCCTGGCTAACACAGGAAGCAGCGCTGTGATGCGTCATTAGCATCAAACTTACTTTCCAAATTTGAATCTGTGTCCTGTATAAGAAGTATTTTGCTCTCTGGTAAAGGACAGAGAAATGCTGCATATCTCAAGTTGCAAAAAATTGTGAAATACTTTGAACAGTCAACTGCTAGACAGTCTAATTCAGCAGCTACTACAACTAAAGAAAGAGCAGCCTATCTGGCCAGCCAGCAGGGGTGAGTAAGGCTAAAACAAGTGTTGAGATAACTGCCTTGTTCTTGCTTAAGTACAACTAATACAGAGGACTGAGATGAGAGCCAGGAGGAGACTAGGACAGCTGGTGCCCTTCCCTGTTCATCACAAAATAATGTGCTTCAAAGCACTGGTACTGGGCAAACTTTAAAGGAGTTAATGCTTTTAAAATTCATTTCAAGAGTAAGTACATTTTTCGCATGATTTTTTGTTAGGTACAATTCAAGCTGGGTTGCCATTTTGTCATCTAAGGTTCTTGTAAAATGCAGCATTGATTATTATAAATGAAACTTAATTGCAAGGTTATACTGTACTACCTTGTTGAATTTTTTTCAGTAGTAAGCATTTGGCTTTTGCAGTTGACTGCTCACTAAGACTTGACTGAAGATGGCAAACAAATAGCTTGGAAGCCTGTGATAACTATACTTCATTTAAATATTGATTCTCTGTTTGCAGTTTATGATCAGGAAAATTGCAGATTACTTTTTTTTGCCTACCTTTTAAATTGCATTCTGGAGATTAAGGAAAAAAAATTATGCAGAAATTAGCTCTTGAACTCATTTATTATCCCAGGTCGATTAAAGACATCATTGGTGTAGGCTGAGAACATGCATCTTGCAGTTCTACAGACCTGTGTTCAATATCACCACCTGTTTTTCATGTTATAGCATATACTCATTGGTGATGAAATTTGCATTATACCCCTTTTTATTGTTACTACTTCGAAAACAGGCACAGCAGCAGAAAACCTTTAGCACTGCTGTTCAAAAGCAAAATAATGTGTGCTATGGTCGGAACATGCATTTAGGCAGAAACAGAATTTTGGAATCGAAGAATGAAATTACATTGAAACGAACATTTGAAGAAGATGATGAACATGAAGAAGAGGTAACTTTATACTGAATCAGTATGTCTTATTTAAAGATATGCAGTATACTGTCTGTAGATAGTCAATGTTAGTTTGGGAGAACCAGAGAACGCCTTCAAGCCACAGCAGTCCAAATCAGCATATTAGGGGAAAAAAATACTGCCAGAGTACTACTTGTATTAGTTCTAGTGTTACCATAATGTCTGGGGACATTAGATTTAATAGAACTTGTAATTATTCTGGAAATCATTTGCAGTTTACATAATATGTTACCTACCCACTGTAAATGGTACGTGGCCCCCCTGGAATATTCTGTTGTTTCTAAAGCCATCATTTCTGTGTTGAGGACATCAGCTTGTGTTAGATCTCTTTCAGCTATCAAATATTCAGTATTGATAAATTGAATAGAAGAATGAATATTTATACCTTTAAATCTGATGTTCAGAAAACACAGTGAAAGGAGCCTGGTCTTGTAACACACAAAATCTAGTACTGAAGTACAGGGAGAGAAGAGAGTTTAGCAATTAATTTACTCCTTTGTGACAGAACCCATACATTTTTTGGGTCTTATTAAGTGGGCAAGTTCTTTTGGTAATGTATTACATTTTGCAGGTTATATGTTTCTTATGGTCTATATACTTTTCCTTTTCCTTTTCTTCTTCAGGTTTTAACTGCCCAAGATCTTGTAGACTTTTCTCCAGTTTATAGGTGTTTGCACATCTACTCAGTTTTGGTATGTATTAACATGACCTCAAAAAGGTATTTTACTTTTTGAAGAGGAAAAGTAATTTTTCAATTTTTTCATATTCTTAATAGTTCCCAAGCAAGTAAGCAAGCACTTTGCCTCTAGTAGTGGTAGTTCTGGATAAATCAGCTAAGATGAGTAGAGTGTGGATACTCAGGGCACAACTGCGAGTTTTATTTTATATGCATAATAAAGAACACACAGCAAGACATTAATTACGTATGTGTTCTTAAGAATATATGTCAAATAAGCTTATCTGCCTCTTTAGTGGCATTGGCACTTATGCTGTTCTCCTAAGTGTTCATGTTGCACAAATGTTTGTGGGGATATGATTGATATTACAAAACATAGGAGTAATCAGTCTGAATCTTGTGGAAATGAGAACAGTAAAGCAAAATAGCAAGAAAAACTGAAGGTTGTGACAGTCTGCACAGGCAGATTAGATTGGATTCAGTGGCAGAGACACAATAGCCCATTATAGCTGCTGTAAGAGATACAATGCACAGGCTAGCGAGGACAAACACTTTTTTGAGGAAAGTTGGTAGCAACTTGTTATTTTCTCACCCTATGTCTCAGCTAATTTTGAAATCAAATTACTTGCAGAATAAGTTCAGTCATTCAAGCTCAGTTATCTACTTTTTATGGCATCTTGCAGCTGTGTAATGTGGAAGCTTTCAAGATATTTAATTATCTTGAAATAATGTTTAAACCTATGTCTCAGCTAATTTTGAAATCAAATTACTTGCAGAATAAGTTCAGTCATTCAAGCTCAGTTATCTACTTTTTATGGCATCTTGCAGCTGTGTAATGTGGAAGCTTTCAAGATATTTAATTATCTTGAAATAATGTTTAAGTGTTACTTTACTGTTACTTTATTTTTTTTTTATTAAAAAAGAAGGCATCTACACAAAAGCATCAGTAATTACATCAGTGAAAAGAATAGGAGGGACAAGAAGATAGGCTGCCAAAACTAGTAAAAAAGAGTGGTCTATTTCTTTTACAGAGGAAATACGTGTGAAATAACATGTAAAAGAAATATGCAGTTACATGAACCAGTTGACAATATCTGCTTATTGTTTGTTTAGTGTAATAAAAGAACAGGAAATAAAATTGATAGATAATATTTAAAAGTGATACATGATAAAATTTTTCACTTTGACAAGGATCCTGACGTTGGATCCTCAAAGCAAGGATGTGCTCTTTGTGTTTGCACAGGAAGTTCGCTGGCTTCCAAGTCTACTGCAGACAGAAAAGAAAAAAAAAAAAGAGTGCTCTCTGATATCAAAAGCCCTTAGCCCCTTAGAAGACGGGTTGTTGATGTCTTCATAATAGGGCTTCTGTCTTTCCTGCCAACATAATCTAATTAATAAGCCATGGTGGCCTTATCAAGAGTTGTGCGTTAACCACTTCTTGGAGTCCTTCTTGTTGCCCTCCTGTTGTGAACCATCTCTTTTGGAGTCCAAAGAGCTCCACAGCAGCAAGGGAGGGAAGTGGCTATTACTTTGCTATATCAAGGACTTAACTCACAGAAAATGGCACCTTCTTAGTGAATTCTCTTCCACAAAACAGTAGAAAATATTCTATTTTTCACATGGGACCAAAGTTTTCCACTCTGCTTCTTTATACTGAAGAAGGAAGCAGGATTTTATGTACGTCCGAATACTAAATAGTTTGTGATTGCGACCTGGTGATTGCAAGGTACATGTGTACCAAACATAGACTGTTTTTATTTATATTTCTTTAGAAACTTCTGGGCAATACAGACAAAGAGGTGGGGGCTTTTTTAAGCCCATGTATTATGTGAGATGCTGTGCCTGCATTGCTGATCTTGACTGCATAGGAGCATGCTCTATAAATAATGAGATATTTTACATCTCAATTTTTGGTGTGGGTTTGACAACAGCTACTCTTTTTCACTAGAGAAGCTTGTGTCAGGATTGAGTAGAGATTTAGCAGTGGAAATAGAACTCAGAAATGCCTTTGTGCATCTGAAAATGTTTGAGCTGGAGGTGAGTTGTCAAGTATGCCTGATCAGTACAAATTACACCACACTGTAAAGTTCTGCTGAAACAGAAAGTGTTCCATTAAATTTGCATCTTGGTTTCAAGTGTTTTGGTATTTTTTAAGTCAAATCTTTTTTACTTTTGGATTTTGTTAGGTTAGTAGTATTTCTTAATATTCATTATGAACTTAAAACTTGAAATTTAAACTTTCTGTGTTATAACTTACAGTTAACTTATTGTTTTATCAGTAAGTAATGTGGACTTATTAATATACAATTTCCGTAATGACTTGATTTGAAGAATTTTGGAAGTCTAAGTACTGGATTTGTAATTGCCTTGGCCTAATAATAAACTCATTAAATAATACCAAATCTTAAAAATGCTAAGCTGTTTTATTCTGCTTGCATACAAATTACATTGTGTTCAGAGGTAGATGAGTCAATGTAGCATGATTTCAAGTCGCCAGATGGTTTCTACTGAATGGTCGTCTTAATGAGATGGGTAGGATGTCACTTGAATTCCTCATGATACAGTCATTAGACACAGAGAGCATTGTGTTTTTGAGGACCGTGATAGGAGAAAAATCCAAATCCAGAGTCATTATACTTACCAATTTCAAAGAGAATAAGCAAATATTAAATAAATCTTGTGTTTGTTTTTTTTCTGAGGCAAAGCTAAAGCAGTCATTGTTCAGATGTATTATGTATTCACAGACACATTTTTGTAACTTCACTTTACAATGCAGATGGTTTTTTTAATAACCTAGAGAAACATTTTAGAAGACTATGAGTTTCATTTATAGAGTGATTTTGCTTTGTTTATAAACATTTATATACTTGGAAAGTTGTAGTTTAAAAGCATAAATATTGCTTTAAATGCATAATATTGTTTGACAAAATGTAGGTACATAAGAAAAACTTTTATTTACCATACAGTCTGTAGGCTACTTTAAAAAAATAAATAAATTTGCATATTTCATGCATGTTTTTACTGCTTCTATCTTGCTTTAGGGTGATGGAGAAATATTTGAAAATTATTACAGAAAACAAAGAAGGAAACAAGCAAGATTAGTTCTGCAGCCACAGTCAAGCATGGTAACCAGTCTTTCTGTTTTTGTACTGGCTTGGGATGTACCTAATGCCTGGAGGTATTTTAATTCTTAAACTTGTTTTCTTTTTCACTGAAAGCATGAAACTGTAGAAGGCTATAGAAGATACTTCAGTCAAATTGTAGGGTAAGTCTTCTAAACAGAGAATTATTTCATTTTTACTATATTGATTCTTAATTCACAGTCTGTTCTCACGCTTTCCAGAAACTTTCCTTTGCAAAATTCAGTTTCTGGACAAACGATGCTGGTAGGTGGTTATTGCTGGAAGAGCATCCAGATCTAACCAGTACAGTTCCCCACAAGGACCCTTCAGCTGCCTGGGCTCCAGCTGGCATGAAACAAACTTTGTATTTGGACTTCATGCTGGGCAAAGCAGAACGCCAAAACTAGCAAAAATGTCACTGCTCAAGTGGGGAAGGGTAGGAATTTCTCTAATATGAGAAAACAACTTAATAATTTAAGCATTATTTTGTTTTAGTTTCTTTGTTGTAGAAGACCACATTTTACATGTAACCCAAGGACTGGTAACTAGAACGTACACTGATGAACTCTGGAACATGGCCCTTTCCAAGATCATTGCTGTTCTTAGAACACATTCAGTAAGTGAGAAATCTTATCAGTATTGCAGTTTAAATCCTCTTACTTTAGAGCTCTGTATATTTAAAGCTGGGATAGTAGCAAAGTGAAAAATTACACCTCCCTAATGTTTTCTTTTCCTTGTGATTAAAAATTGCTCAGATTTGGGAGGGAGCCTGCCAAGCTTTTGTTTTTCCCAACAGAATCAGGCTGTGATCCACAGCCATGGGCTATTTGCATAATCCTCTGCTGATTTACAACTCACTGGGTCTTCCAAACCTTCTCTTAGTCCAGCAGTTTAGAATATGCAGAGTTAATCTTCTGTTATTATTGCAATCTTTCCTCATTAGTCTCAACTGACCTCTTCATTAGATCAGATTGAATAGTTCGGCACTGAAAGCACCACCAGGAAATAGTTCCTAATTATCATTCCAAATGCTGTGTTTCCAAAATAAACTCCACCAGCAAAACCCTTGGAGCTATCTCTTCAATGCTATAGTAGTAATATGTTTATGTTGAAGTAAAGGGATTAGAAAAATCTTCACAGATGTTAGATTGTAATTCTGTATCAGCTGAGTATTTCAGTACGTTCAAAGTGTATCTCCTTAAGTTATATTTCTACCTTAGCTCCAGTGATGCTGAATATCTGCCTGCTGTTTCTTACTCCTCTGTGAAAACCAATGGAATACCATTGTTCATGCAGACTGACCGATAGTAAATTGCTTCAGTTTACTGCTGGTTTAACTTTTACTGTTGGAAAAAATAGTTTTATGTTTCTCTTTTTAATGTTTGCTAGAATCTGTTCCTTTATGCAATGTTGTTGTTATTTTTGTTACAACTGAGCTTTAATTTGAGGAGTGTTTTACATTTCATGTATACTGAGGAAAAAAGAGGAGGAAGTTCAGGTTGCAATTATAGTTTTATCATAGGACTTTTAATAACCAGTACATTATATGGTCTCATACATTTGAATTAATTTCAGAGGATTGGAACAAATTGAGATATAGTCAGCATTTTTTTTTAAGCTAAAGACTTTGCAAGTTAATTGCCTTTGCATGGATTTATACACATATGTAAGAATATGGTGAATTAAGGAGTAAAAGCAATTAATCTCCAAAGAACTCTTCGATGTCTTGTTGTGTGTAGTTCATCACTATTCTCAAAATGCAAAACTCCCATCAAAACCAATTCTATCACAGTCTACTCCTAACATCATCCTAGTACAGACTAATGTTTAGATAAGTGTGTTGTCTTATGAGGTATTGTAAACCAAACTCTTACTTTATAGACTATGCTAAGAGCTGAAATTAAAGAGAGGTGAAACAGGTATATATAGTCTCTAACCAATCCTATATTCTCATAGTGCTGTGAATTATTTTAATATAAATATTGTATTACTTCATCCAGTATTGCAGATAGTGAGGCTGAAGTGAAAGACTTGGTTGTATGACTCCATACCTCTGAGCATAAAATTTCAGTAATTTAGTAAATAACTTAATGTCTTGCCTTTTTACCATCAAATTTGAACTTATCTAGGAAGTATTTTACAGTGTTTTCCCCATACAGCTGGGAAACTCTGAGGTGGTACAGTTAGCTCTAGACCCAGGCTTAGTGTTCAAAAGAATGTCCTGTGGAAACTTCTCTGATGTTGATTTAACAAAGCATTTTGATGTGTGCTTATGTTCCACTGAAATAAATGCAATTTGCTGAGTTTGAATCTCAGTATAATGTGCTGATATTTATTGAATCTCATATTTTGGGTCACTTTTCTGAGCTTTTATAGCACACTAGTTCATATAAAAAATTAACAAATACTTTTATGTAGTTAGACTAAGTGAAGACAAGTGAGTCAAAGTTGTTTTTTTACTAAGGCAGTCAGTCAGATAAAGGGTTATAGGCTGGAGACTTTAATCTTCTGTACTAATATTATTTGCAAATATATGTCTCATATTTTAAATCCTTTTGACACAACCAGAACTTCTCACTTTCAGTCATATTGCAGTGATCCTGACCTTGTTCTGGAACTGAAGAATCTCATTGTAGTATTTGCTGATACTTTGCAGGTATGTATTATATTAGTAGTTGAACTGAAATTCCTAGAGTTGATTTTTTCCTTTAGTGAGTAATTGCAATGCTTTGGATTTCCCTAATGTCATATATATGAATCAAGAACAAAATTACACAACAGTATTTTTAAAAATAGGTATTTGTTGCCTTGGTTTCTCTTTTTCAGTGTTACCAACTTAATGTATGCATTCTAGGCTTTCTGGCTACTGTCCAGTTATTCATGCCTATGCAAAATTAATGTTAGCCTTGTAATTTTTGTCCTTTTTTTGTCTTTTGTAAATACTTTTCTTTTTTCATACCTCTAGGGTTATGGTTTTCCTGTGAATCGACTATTTGATCTTTTATTTGAGATTAGAGACCAGTACAATGAAACACTTCTTAAAAAGTGGTCTGGATTGTTCAGGTTAGTATTTAAAAATAATTGTATTTGTATTACATCGATTGGGTTTTTTTCTTACTTAATGTTTTGGGCTTTTTTTGATAGAGTTGTATTTCTGGAAGAATTTATTAACTCAGTATTTTATATGAATTGCAGATTGGGTAGGACTAAGGCATTAATCACATGTAACTAATATTCAGGAGAAGAGCCCTTGAGGATTGCTTCTGTGGTTAGTGGAGGGAAGGAGGTCTCCAGAGGGACATTGTAGCAGAAACAGCCAGGAGAGAAACACTTGTTTTTCTTCATTAGGAAACTGATCACTCTGGGCTATCTTAATGTTTACAGTTAGCTGATATGTAGCCCTGACAGACTACTGACATTGCCAATACATACATTTTTTCAATGCAGGTTGGTTTCCACCTCTTCCTTGTAATCATTGAGTAAACTGTAAACCCAGGAATAGGGCAGCTTGGAACTGTATTCAGGCACCTGTTTGCAGATGGAGTGTGATACATAAATGTGTTGGTGTTGTTTACCATTTTTAAAGTTACATTATATTTTGGAAAACCTTAAAATTAAATTGACTAGTTAAATGTAGTGTCAGAGGTTCTCATGCTCTCTAGACTCCTAGTATAAGCAAGGGATTAGTAGAGAAGTCCAGAGGGTACTTAAAGTTGTGGCTATGTGCCTAGTTGAAGTTACCTGAGTCATTTCCATTGACTCTGTGTAGCTGTGGTACCAAAGTGAGATGTGCTAAGTATCTGCTTTAGTGTAGGCAAAGTGCAGGCTACCACAATTAACAAGTAGCTCATCATGGTTTGCCGTGGAGTAGTTGATCTAAAAGTTCCTTTGCTGTATTATGCCTTAAGGTCATATATATCAAAGTGCTTTCAGCTATTTTTGCTCTGTGATTAGACAGGGTATAAAGAATTGGCTTATACAAGATACTTTTCAGATTAATCTAAAAACAGTTTGCGTGTCTGAAATGATAATGATTGCAGCTGATAACTTTTTGAAGCTGCACACCTAAGTGTGATAGTGAAATTCATATTAATTTACTTGCTTTAACACTGGAAAACATTATAAGTAAATTACATGTTCTAATTTTTTTTCACTTTACTAACAAATTCACCAGGGATATTTTTGAAGCGGACAACTACAGCCCTATTCCTGTAGCCAATGAGGAGGAATACAAAATAGTTATAAGCAAATTTCCTTTTCAAGATTCAGAATTCGATAAGGTAAGGCAAAGTTTTGTTATTAAAGTTTGCCAAAATCCAATTAAGGACAGATGATAAATTAATTATTTTTTATAAATAAAAAGTAAGTAAAAATTGAAAAGATAAGTAGATTAAGAGGCCAAGTCACCTTCTTTGTGTCTAATTATCCAGTCATAAATAAATAAGAAAATTAAAGCATTAGTAATTTCCTCTGGTGTATGAGTGGATAATGAAACCCATTGTTTTGTAAACAAATTAATAATACACTTTAATTTATACGGTCTTTATGTAATTATAATACAATCTTTCTTTAATTAGTTAAATTTTGTTGCAACTCATTTAATATAGTAATTCACAGTGTATTGTATGCTGTAGCTTTGCAAAAATACATGTAAAACATCCATCTGTTAGACTGCAGCTTTTGTATTTCATTTTTAAAATTAATTATTTGTGTTTGAGCATGTCCGGCAAATAAACACAAAGGGACATATTTTGCTAATAAATTGCAGAGATTTTGAACTTGCACTAGATAATTTTATCCACTAGCCTCTCTCACTCTCTGCCTGTTGTATCAGTGTGTGTATGCGGTTGTCACTTGTGTAGACGTGTAGTTGTAATCATCATATGTATATAGCTTTAGCTCATAAATCAACAGAAGGGAAATGTATCCTCTGTACCCAGCAATTTTCAGTTTGGTTTATGACACAGAGAGAAATTTCTGATCACAGTGAGCAGCATGTTTTGTAGATATTTATGGGCAGAATCTCACTGATGCTTAGTTTTTGGGCTGGTGAGCTTGACAGTGCAGCTGGGAATCAGGCTGGATTCAGGCTGTTTCCAGCTCTGTTATTGACCAGCTGCATGGTGCTGCTAAGTCACATCACATCTCTCTGTCCCTGTTATTCATCTGTAAAAATGGAGATAACATTTTTTACATCTCTTAGAAAAGATATTTGAAACCTGTATGTAAAGCAGAGCAACACAATTAGAAAGAAGGCAGTCTGAGGCTTATTTCTTGTGTCCTAGCAACTTTTAAAGAAGTGTAGTTGACTTCAACCAAATCTAGAAAAGGGGCAGAAATCGCAAAGGTGTTTGAGTTCTTAAAAGTTTTGTCAACTAGGCAGTGGGGTAGAGGAGAAGGAATCCTAAGGTGTCCTCGTGGAAAGACAGAATGCAGTGGTACCTTATGTGTCACTACATAGCAGGGAATACACATGGAGGGGAAGCGTAAATGCTCCAACATCACTTCTGTTGGTTGCTGTTTATAATCTCATCCACTACACCTCTGTGTTGTTGCCTCAGGCACTGGGAGGTCCTGTTGGGTGGGTTAATTTAATCTACATTTTGATGTTTAAAAAAAACCCAAAATTAAAGATACACCCTAAAAATAGATGTAGAAGTTCAAGCTAGTTGCTGGAGAAGCCTGTGTAGTTGATAGAGAGATTTTGTTGAAGTAAAGGGATTAGAAAAATCTTCACAGATGTTAGATTGTAATTCTGTATCAGCTGAGTATTTCAGTACGTTCAAAGTGTATCTCCTTAAGTTATATTTCTACCTTAGCTCCAGTGATGCTGAATATCTGCCTGCTGTTTCTTACTCCTCTGTGAAAACCAATGGAATACCATTGTTCATGCAGACTGACCGATAGTAAATTGCTTCAGTTTACTGCTGGTTTAACTTTTACTGTTGGAAAAAATAGTTTTATGTTTCTCTTTTTAATGTTTGCTAGAATCTGTTCCTTTATGCAATGTTGTTGTTATTTTTGTTACAACTGAGCTTTAATTTGAGGAGTGTTTTACATTTCATGTATACTGAGGAAAAAAGAGGAGGAAGTTCAGGTTGCAATTATAGTTTTATCATAGGACTTTTAATAACCAGTACATTATATGGTCTCATACATTTGAATTAATTTCAGAGGATTGGAACAAATTGAGATATAGTCAGCATTTTTTTTTAAGCTAAAGACTTTGCAAGTTAATTGCCTTTGCATGGATTTATACACATATGTAAGAATATGGTGAATTAAGGAGTAAAAGCAATTAATCTCCAAAGAACTCTTCGATGTCTTGTTGTGTGTAGTTCATCACTATTCTCAAAATGCAAAACTCCCATCAAAACCAATTCTATCACAGTCTACTCCTAACATCATCCTAGTACAGACTAATGTTTAGATAAGTGTGTTGTCTTATGAGGTATTGTAAACCAAACCCTTACTTTATAGAGTATGCTAAGAGCTGAAATTAAAGAGAGGTGAAACAGGTATATATAGTCTCTAACCAATCCTATATTCTCATAGTGCTGTGAATTATTTTAATATAAATATTGTATTACTTCATCCAGTATTGCAGATAGTGAGGCTGAAGTGAAAGACTTGGTTGTATGACTCCATACCTCTGAGCATAAAATTTCAGTAATTTAGTAAATAACTTAATGTCTTGCCTTTTTACCATCAAATTTGAACTTATCTAGGAAGTATTTTACAGTGTTTTCCCCATACAGCTGGGAAACTCTGAGGTGGTACAGTTAGCTCTAGACCCAGGCTTAGTGTTCAAAAGAATGTCCTGTGGAAACTTCTCTGATGTTGATTTAACAAAGCATTTTGATGTGTGCTTATGTTCCACTGAAATAAATGCAATTTGCTGAGTTTGAATCTCAGTATAATGTGCTGATATTTATTGAATCTCATATTTTGGGTCACTTTTCTGAGCTTTTATAGCACACTAGTTCATATAAAAAATTAACAAATACTTTTATGTAGTTAGACTAAGTGAAGACAAGTGAGTCAAAGTTGTTTTTTTACTAAGGCAGTCAGTCAGATAAAGGGTTATAGGCTGGAGACTTTAATCTTCTGTACTAATATTATTTGCAAATATATGTCTCATATTTTAAATCCTTTTGACACAACCAGAACTTCTCACTTTCAGTCATATTGCAGTGATCCTGACCTTGTTCTGGAACTGAAGAATCTCATTGTAGTATTTGCTGATACTTTGCAGGTATGTATTATATTAGTAGTTGAACTGAAATTCCTAGAGTTGATTTTTTCCTTTAGTGAGTAATTGCAATGCTTTGGATTTCCCTAATGTCATATATATGAATCAAGAACAAAATTACACAACAGTATTTTTAAAAATAGGTATTTGTTGCCTTGGTTTCTCTTTTTCAGTGTTACCAACTTAATGTATGCATTCTAGGCTTTCTGGCTACTGTCCAGTTATTCATGCCTATGCAAAATTAATGTTAGCCTTGTAATTTTTGTCCTTTTTTTGTCTTTTGTAAATACTTTTCTTTTTTCATACCTCTAGGGTTATGGTTTTCCTGTGAATCGACTATTTGATCTTTTATTTGAGATTAGAGACCAGTACAATGAAACACTTCTTAAAAAGTGGTCTGGATTGTTCAGGTTAGTATTTAAAAATAATTGTATTTGTATTACATCGATTGGGTTTTTTTCTTACTTAATGTTTTGGGCTTTTTTTGATAGAGTTGTATTTCTGGAAGAATTTATTAACTCAGTATTTTATATGAATTGCAGATTGGGTAGGACTAAGGCATTAATCACATGTAACTAATATTCAGGAGAAGAGCCCTTGAGGATTGCTTCTGTGGTTAGTGGAGGGAAGGAGGTCTCCAGAGGGACATTGTAGCAGAAACAGCCAGGAGAGAAACACTTGTTTTTCTTCATTAGGAAACTGATCACTCTGGGCTATCTTAATGTTTACAGTTAGCTGATATGTAGCCCTGACAGACTACTGACATTGCCAATACATACATTTTTTCAATGCAGGTTGGTTTCCACCTCTTCCTTGTAATCATTGAGTAAACTGTAAACCCAGGAATAGGGCAGCTTGGAACTGTATTCAGGCACCTGTTTGCAGATGGAGTGTGATACATAAATGTGTTGGTGTTGTTTACCATTTTTAAAGTTACATTATATTTTGGAAAACCTTAAAATTAAATTGACTAGTTAAATGTAGTGTCAGAGGTTCTCATGCTCTCTAGACTCCTAGTATAAGCAAGGGATTAGTAGAGAAGTCCAGAGGGTACTTAAAGTTGTGGCTATGTGCCTAGTTGAAGTTACCTGAGTCATTTCCATTGACTCTGTGTAGCTGTGGTACCAAAGTGAGATGTGCTAAGTATCTGCTTTAGTGTAGGCAAAGTGCAGGCTACCACAATTAACAAGTAGCTCATCATGGTTTGCCGTGGAGTAGTTGATCTAAAAGTTCCTTTGCTGTATTATGCCTTAAGTCATATATATCAAAGTGCTTTCAGCTATTTTTGCTCTGTGATTAGACAGGGTATAAAGAATTGGCTTATACAAGATACTTTTCAGATTAATCTAAAAACAGTTTGCGTGTCTGAAATGATAATGATTGCAGCTGATAACTTTTTGAAGCTGCACACCTAAGTGTGATAGTGAAATTCATATTAATTTACTTGCTTTAACACTGGAAAACATTATAAGTAAATTACATGTTCTAATTTTTTTTCACTTTACTAACAAATTCACCAGGGATATTTTTGAAGCGGACAACTACAGCCCTATTCCTGTAGCCAATGAGGAGGAATACAAAATAGTTATAAGCAAATTTCCTTTTCAAGATTCAGAATTCGATAAGGTAAGGCAAAGTTTTGTTATTAAAGTTTGCCAAAATCCAATTAAGGACAGATGATAAATTAATTATTTTTTATAAATAAAAAGTAAGTAAAAATTGAAAAGATAAGTAGATTAAGAGGCCAAGTCACCTTCTTTGTGTCTAATTATCCAGTCATAAATAAATAAGAAAATTAAAGCATTAGTAATTTCCTCTGGTGTATGAGTGGATAATGAAACCCATTGTTTTGTAAACAAATTAATAATACACTTTAATTTATACGGTCTTTATGTAATTATAATACAATCTTTCTTTAATTAGTTAAATTTTGTTGCAACTCATTTAATATAGTAATTCACAGTGTATTGTATGCTGTAGCTTTGCAAAAATACATGTAAAACATCCATCTGTTAGACTGCAGCTTTTGTATTTCATTTTTAAAATTAATTATTTGTGTTTGAGCATGTCCGGCAAATAAACACAAAGGGACATATTTTGCTAATAAATTGCAGAGATTTTGAACTTGCACTAGATAATTTTATCCACTAGCCTCTCTCACTCTCTGCCTGTTGTATCAGCGTGTGTATGCGGTTGTCACTTGTGTAGACGTGTAGTTGTAATCATCATATGTATATAGCTTTAGCTCATAAATCAACAGAAGGGAAATGTATCCTCTGTACCCAGCAATTTTCAGTTTGGTTTATGACACAGAGAGAAATTTCTGATCACAGTGAGCAGCATGTTTTGTAGATATTTATGGGCAGAATCTCACTGATGCTTAGTTTTTGGGCTGGTGAGCTTGACAGTGCAGCTGGGAATCAGGCTGGATTCAGGCTGTTTCCAGCTCTGTTATTGACCAGCTGCATGGTGCTGCTAAGTCACATCACATCTCTCTGTCCCTGTTAATTCATCTGTAAAATGGAGATAACATTTTTTACATCTCTTAGAAAAGATATTTGAAACCTGTATGTAAAGCAGAGCAACACAATTAGAAAGAAGGCAGTCTGAGGCTTATTTCTTGTGTCCTAGCAACTTTTAAAGAAGTGTAGTTGACTTCAACCAAATCTAGAAAAGGGGCAGAAATCGCAAAGGTGTTTGAGTTCTTAAAAGTTTTGTCAACTAGGCAGTGGGGTAGAGGAGAAGGAATCCTAAGGTGTCCTCGTGGAAAGACAGAATGCAGTGGTACCTTATGTGTCACTACATAGCAGGGAATACACATGGAGGGGAAGCATAAATGCTCCAACATCACTTCTGTTGGTTGCTGTTTATAATCTCATCCACTACACCTCTGTGTTGTTGCCTCAGGCACTGGGAGGTCCTGTTGGGTGGGTTAATTTAATCTACATTTTGATGTTTAAAAAAACCCCAAAATTAAAGATACACCCTAAAAATAGATGTAGAAGTTCAAGCTAGTTGCTGGAGAAGCCTGTGTAGTTGATAGAGAGATTTAGCTCCATTTGTTGTGTCTCTGATGCCTTTTACAGAATTAAGGAGAATTTCACCTTTGAAAATGACTGGTTTTCTCAATTTAGTATACAAAAAGATGAATGTGAGTGAGTGTCTCATTTTAAACTGTAGGTTAGGATGCATCACCTTTTCCTTTTACATGTAAATTTATCATAGGAGTTGCTTGCAGCACAATAGGCAGAATATACCAGAAGCTACTAGATTATCTGTATCTGTTTTTCATTTGCTGCCTACTCTAATAATCAACATAGAAAATGTTGCCCTCCTGTGTTAGCCAGGTACTGTAGAGAATAAAGAATTGCTTCTCTTAAATTGTTGAATATATAAAGGTTGAAAATCGAGCCCTTCAGACAGAATATTTGATGATCCAAAGTAGTTGTATGTAATAGCACTTGTTTCATATGTGAAAATTAATTGCTTAAATCAGATGAACACATACTTGAAGTAAGGTTTCCTATTGCTGTTGAATGACATGAAAGTCTGGCACTTACAACACACTTTTGTCACACCACATAATCTTTAATAGAAAAGTATCATTAGGAGAATGTCAAGGTAATCTATTTTGTCTTGGTTTTTTAATGTAAAGATGTTGAGCTGCTGTTGATTCATGCTTTTTTTGGGAGGATAGGGGAAATGGGATTCTCCAGTTGTTAGTACCAGTTGTTTATTCTTTTTCTCATTCAATAGTCATAGAGTAAACAGAAAGTAAATTGCTTTGCAGACTTAAAAACCTATGTATTCAATGTAGTAATATATGTTTGGTATGTCTAGATTTAATTAAATTTATTTATTTTTGTACTCCTAAATACAATGTCAGCTTTAAAATTGAAATAAGAATCATGATTGTAGTTGTACAGACTCCTGGTGTTTTCCATATGTTAGCCCAAATTGTTGAGAAGAATTCAAACTGCTTTGGCTCTATGAATCATCGAGAGGAAGTAAATATATGATAGTAAATGTACATGCCTAAACATTCTGAAAAGGCTTGGAAAAATTCCAGATGTATTGACTTTCTCAACCCCTTTTTTTTTTTTTTTTTTTTTTTCCCCTCTGCTTTCTTTGGCAATAAACTGTTTGCATTTTTTATTCTTGCATCCGACTTGCATCTGTCTTGTTTATGCAGATTCAAAGTTATATGAGACCTGTGTTTTAATGTGCATTTGCAAATTGCTTTCTATGAATGGATGTTAAATGACATAAATTCTCCAAGCTTTGTCCTAAATAAGTTCTATATTCCTTATAAGCTATTAAACTACATGTAGAAGTCAGCCCAACACATACCTCTGCTTGGACTTGATGAAAACCAGAAAAGATAGATTAAAAAATTCATAGTGTTAAGTGGCTTTCTAATTGTTGCATTTAATACCAAGCTCTCCTTAGAATCAGTTTCGAGTGTAAGATGGTATTATCTTTTATATTCACAGCAATCCTTTCCAAAGAAGCTTCCAATGTCTCAGTCAGTGCCTCAGATTTATATCCAGGTTAAGGAATTCATTTATGCAAGCCTTAAGTTCTCAGAGTCACTTCACCGCAGGTGAGCTAAAATGTATCAGTAATGTGACTATAAAGTATCCTGTAAATTCCAGGTGATCAAAATATTTATATTACATTTAAAATATGTTTTCTTGCCAGCTGTGCTTGTTTCATAATTTACATACATAATTCTTTATATTTAGTCTCTGATTCCCAATGTTATAGCATATTTTTCATATGTGTATATATATTTTGTATACAAGATGTCCATGACTATATGGGTGAGAGTAGCTTGTCACAGTAAGCAGTCTAAAACACTGCTGGGGTTTTAAAACAATATGGAGTGGTTTGAATAATCTAGAGATTTTATTTATTTAACAAAGCATGTAAGATTTGAAGAGTATACTTTGATACTGAGCAATTCAGAAAGAATTGTGTATCATCCCTCATTACTTCCAATGGTCTTTCCTGTCTCAGTGCTTTCAGTTTCCTTAGCAATAATTTACCCTGCAATAAAACGTGCTGTCTTTAAGCTCTTTCACTTTTCCATCTGTTTCTGATGGAAATTATCACAGTTCTCCCATTTCCTTCCGTCTTGTGGCTTCAAAAGCTTAGTTTTAATTACATAACATAACATTCATAGATCTGAAATCTGGAAGGTATTTGTGGCAGTCACCCACTCCTCCACTGTTGAATATGTAAATCACTCGCTTTCACACATTTTTAATTGATACTGTTTATAATTTACACGTACTAATGAGCACATGTTGACCTCCTTAGTAACTCATTAAAACCCACAAATTACTCTTTCGAAACTACTGTGTCAATAAACATGTCCAAACTCTAAAAATAACAGGTTTTTCTTCAGTGTTGAAATTCAGTTAATGGATAAATTGGTAAATGAAAGAGATGTTCTGTGTTGTGTGTTAGATCACAGAGGACTTGTAGCAACCACAAATTAAATGCATGTAGTGAATTCTTAATGTGAAAAGTTCCCTTTGCAGGGAAAAAATTAAAAATACTAAATATTGCTGTCAAAAGATTTTAGTGTACAGTATAGTTATAAAAATGAACTTTTTCTTTTTCCAGCTCAACAGAAATAGATGATATGCTCAGAAAATCTACAAATTTGCTGCTTACAAGAACTCTAAGTAGTTGTTTACAGAACCTAATTAAAAAACCTCATATAGGTTTAACAGAGGTAAGTTTTAGAACACCTACTCAAAACTGTGTTTTTTTAGGACAATGAATGCTGGAATTAATCTTGTAAACGTGAATGTACTAAGAATTATTCTTGTAAATGTATTAAGATAGGTTTAATAAAAGCAAGCAATGTTTGCTTTAAAAGAGAAACTTTAAAGAGGTAAAAGACCAAGTATAAAAAAAGCACCGATACCTGTTACTTAAATAATACAATACAGAGCTGAGTGCAGTTGGAACTATATTTTCTCAGGGATGACTTTTAAGAGAGAGATGACAATGAAAAAGTTCTGGCTCCTGTATGATAGAGTTTGGAAAGAAATAAGCCGAAGACTGACTTCTTTGGTTGCATACAGAGCACAGTTCAGATGTTCTGCTCCTGTTTAGCGTTTAGTAGCACATTGTTGAATTTCTTTTTCTTCCTATGTAAAAAACAAAAAGAGAAAAAGAAAGTGGTGGAAAATCTCTTTCATGTGTACTGTGTAAAGTTTCAGAGTGAGCATTCCACATCATTAAATCTAAAGTCTGAATTCATTCTAACACATTAAACTTTTTCTATAGTAATTGCCATTAAAATTTTAGTAGGTTTGTGCATGTTAGATTATTTTTTTTTGAGACTCTTGGTTTAAATTTTTTTATTGGACCAAGTAAGACTGAGACAGTGAATCAGTCTGAACATTCACTGCAGGAACATGCAGTGTCAGGAGAGAGCAGGTACCTACTGAAACGTGCTGAAAAGGACTTAGACTGTTGCTGTTCGAGCACTATCACCTAATATTGAATGTTATTTTTAACGAAGAAGATGAGGAAAGAGCTCTATAAATCATACATATACCATGTTACTAAGACAGGCCACACAGTTTTTCTAAGATGTAGTTTTCTATGTTCTTGAAATTTGTTCAGTATTTTCAAGGGTATTAAAATAAATTCACTAGTCTTTTTTTGGGTGTTTCATTGTCAAGTCAATATGCTTTATAAGAGAAATGTTAGAAAGAGAAATCTTATTTTTATTAAGCATTACATTAGTGTACACTTAAACAATGTGCAGTGAGAATTAAGATATAATATACTGATATTTCGGTTACTATGCACTGTTCACATTGTTTATATATGAACTGAATGCAAATGCAGGTCCTGCTTATAAAACATCTATATCACATACCAACAGATTATTATAATTGGTGGGGGGAGGAAGGCATAACAAGCAGGTTTTTTTGATAGCAGTAATAATTTTTTTATGGTGCATATTAATTATTTGGTTTTGGCAATATATTTTCCTTTATTTTATCATTTTAATTCTAAAGTACCTATTGGATTTTTTTAACTGTGTAGGTGTCTGCATTCTTCACTTTTAAACTGGCACCTTTTTTGTAAACAGTAACTTTACTCCTTAGTGGTATTTGAAAGCAGACAAAAAAAATTAACAATAAGTAGATGAGTAGTAAGTAACTAACTAAGTTAGTTGCATTATTGTTAAATGAATTAATGATTTACAAAACCGAATGAAAATGGGTGATGCAAAAAGGATTTTTACAATAATTTTTTGCCTCTTATAGCTTGTTCAAATCATCATAAACACAACACACCTGGAACAAGCCTGTAAATACCTTGAGGATTTTATATCTAACATCACTAATATTTCACAAGTGACTGTTCACACTGCAAGACTTTATGGACTTTCTACATTTAAGGTATGGTATATGTCATACGTTATATCACTATGTCTGAAAAGTTACATTAAAATAATTATAAATTAAGGCATTTTAAAGCAAAAAGGGGTGAAGGCAAAGCTGCATGCTTTCTGTTTTTTTACTCCAAAGCAATTCTGAACTGTTAAGAATTCAATTACAACATATAAGTAGATAAACAGGTTTTTTATGTTACCAGTAGGATCTGAAATATGTCAGTAGGTGAGAAGCTTCAATATTCTCTTTCTGATGCATCTTTTATTAAGTTATAAAATGACACCAGATGGTTGTGTGCATTGAAGAACCAACTTTTGAGATTCATATACATAAAACATGGCAGAAATTATTTCATCAACCAAATCTGGCCAATTTTTTATTGTTTAGATTAGAAGCAAATTTCTGTGTTTGGGGGGTGATTTGGGTTTTTCTTTCTAAGGAAAGCATTCTCACAAAAGAATAATCTTGTATAGGTTACCTAGTGCCATTAATTTAGCATGTGCATTGCCTTCTTAGTCACTTGGGGCTTTTATACAGAAATTTTTGAAAGAGAAACAAAAAAACCCAACCCAGAACCTAATCAGGGATTTAAAAGCTGGAACTTGAACTTTAGGTATTTGGGGTTTTTCAGTGTACACTGAAACAAAGGAGGGTGATTTGTTGTATTTATGGGATAAAGAGGACTAATCCTATTGAGAGTAGGTCTGTTTTCTGTACTTCATTTTTTCTCTTGATGCAGTATGCAGCCTATCCTATTATAATATCCCCTCTGGCACAGATGTTAAAAGGTAGGTGAGGTGGAATAAGACATCATCGTTGGCAAGATGCTTCATATTTCCAGCTGCTTGCCAACAATTTCCCCATTAACTGTCATTTGTTTTACTAAGGATTTAAAGAATGAGGGAAGACAGAAAGCTTCTGGCCCAGCAACTGCAGTTAGGTTATGATTGCCCTACCAGTAGTTTTACTAACTTTGCCCTGTTCTTAAGATCCAGGCTGCCTAGTTTGCTTGTTATGTACCAATAGTCCAAGTGTGCCTTTGATTTTGCACATCTATTCATGTAAGGTCAATCAACAATCTTCAATAATCAATCAAACATTCAAACAAAACATTTAATGCAGCCAGTCTTTGTCTCCATTAGGAATTAAGATGTTCTTTATCCTTAAATTTTGTTTAATAAAAGCAGTTGAAAGTTCATACTATGTTTTGTACTGATTGCTCATGATGTAAGCTATGTTTAACTATTGTATAAGCTAAGTTCTATGGGAGGGAATCACAGAATATTATATGTGTTTAGTGAGGTTAGTATCTATGCACTGTAGAAAGATACAGAATGAACACTGACAAACACATAAGCATTTTTTTATGGTTTCTTTCCTCTCTCATTCCCTGGAGAACTTGTTAGCACAGTGTTCCCCACTTACAGTAGAAAATTCTTTTCTCGTTAATCCCTTTTTGCCCCCTCTCTTTTAATGAAAAGCTGCTTGCAGTTCCCCAGCTGGACCCTCACAGAGTTTGGTATGTTCTACTGATGTTAATTTCATCTCCTGGTGGCAAATCGTGTCATCTCCATTCTTTCTGAGTGGCCAAACAGCTCCTCTTATTAGCAGCATTGATCACATTTACATTCCATGAGATGATCGGATAAGTATGTTTGCACTGTATTTTTTAACAGAAGTCCCTAGGTGTATTTCTTGGCTACAATTTTAGAGGGCTGTTTTTCTAATTTTATTTTTGTAGATCTTCTTTTAAGATGATCTTCAAACTTCCCAAGCATTGTTGCACTTGTGTGGAAATTAAAAGAAAAACAAAACAAACCAAAACTTGTTTCAGTTTATCATATTAAAAAATTGTGTAGCTTTCAGTATTTATAGCCACATTAAACTGTGTAATGGCTGTTTGAGAATCAGAAACACAGCATCAAATCCTGTGCAGGGCTTCAGGACATTCTCTGAGAGAAAAGCAATTTAACAAAATAACATTATTTGTCCATTTTTATAATGGGGGAAAATCTGTTGAACTTTCAAAAGGTTTTGATGCAGTTTTGTCACCATGTTAAAAGAAGAGATGGAGTTAATTTGCCTGGCTCTAGGAATTTTCCCACATCTGAATAGTGCTAACTCACTCTTGGCTCATGCATAGGATTTGCAATGCTGCTTCTCAGAAGTAACTTTTGGGTTTGAAATTTGATTTCTCGTCTGTTCTGGAAACAGAAGCAACAATCCTTACTTAAATTGCTGGCAGCACACTGCTCCAGTTGTAACCAGATAGCCAAAGCAACATAAAAGGTAGCCAAAAACAGATTTCCAGAAGCAAGAAATGGAGGACTACTCTTGTCATTGGCAATAAATCATCTTAATTGGGAAAGATGATACAACCACTCTATAAATTACTTAATTTTCAAACAAAAAAGCCCATAAACAAAACACCCAAGCAATCACACTAAACCTAAGCAGATATATTTGCAAGTTCTTTTATTATAGGTTGTTCAAACTGAGGTTTCATTGTTAATTAGATACTTCAAAAATACACTTGATCTTAATTGAGGCTTTTATAGTCACAGCCATCTACACAATTTGTAAGGCTGAAATGTAATAAAGATTATTGTTGTGAAGAGAGTAAAGCAATTGCTTTGTTTCCACATTCAACTAACTTTCATTTGGCTGTGAGAAATTATTTTACTCTGTAGGCATATTCTGTTATAAACACTCTTACAGTATACACGAAGGGAATGTTTTGAAACCGACAGCCTCAGATTTACTGCAAGGCAGAAATTGAAATTCTGATTTAAATAAAATATTTTTGAATCTAAGAAAAACACAATACTTCTGTTTCGTTGATGAACGTAATTTTATCTGCATTCTAATAATTTTTTTAAATTATAACAAGTGCACACGATTTATTTGCAGGATGCAAGGCATGCTGCAGAAGGAGAAATATACACAAAACTTAACCAAAAAATAGATGAATTTATTCAGATTGCTGACTATGATTGGACAATGTCTGAATCGGATGGAAGAGCCAGTGGATATTTAATGGACCTTATTAACTTTTTAAGAAGCACATTTCAAGTTTTTACGCATTTACCTGTAAGTCTTCAAAATTAAGTTTCATTTCAATCTACTGGAACATTGTTTTGTTTTAAAATACTAAAATTTTGAAGATAGATGTGATTTTTTTAATTTGTGTACATAATGGCAGATGTTTTTTGTTTTTTTTTCAATATAGATATACTTTCATATGTGTTTCAGTATGATGATGAAGCTTATCGATGGTAATACTTAGAAAATACTTCCAAATCCATTAGTAATATTGTTAGTAATTTAAAAATAGTGTAAGCTCATACAGTTTTCTAGAGCATCAGATGCCATTTTTAACTAACCATATTGGTTCTGTGTACAAGCAATGTACAAGCAAATCCTGCATGTGTGCATAAGATTATGAAGGTCTTGGATTCTCTAGGTTTATTTTAGCTAGATAGCTTTGGTCATAAAAAATAGTTTTATTCTAATGAACTGAGCTTCACTGCAATGAATCCTTGTTCATATTCAAATATATCCTGTTATTTTGTCCTGGAAGAATTCTGTTAGCCTGTTTTATGTACTAAGTGTTACATTCTGTTGTCCGATTTCCTCTTTAAGACAAAAAAAGATTATTCGTTTGATTTATCATCATAATAGTTTCTAGGATAATGTGTCTGTAGTAACTTGAGTAAGTCTTTCAAGTTACATCTGCTTTTCATTGGCTTATCCTTGGTTGCTACTGTCACACTAATGTCTGCGTGCTTTTACCTATATGCAATCATAGAATCATAGAATGGTTTGGCTTGAAACAGACCTTAAAGATCATCTGCTTCCAACCCCCTGCCATGGGCAGGGACGCCTACACCTCCCACTGAAACAGGTTGCTCCAAGCTCCATCCAGCCTGGCCTTGAACGCTTCTGGGAATAGGGCATCCATGACTTGGCTGGGCAACCTATGCCACTGCTTAGAATGTTTTGAGGCTCAGACCTGAAGAAAAAGATAATTTCTTTATGTGCACAGCACAGTGGGCTTATTTGTTCTTCCACATCACGTATGAAGAAGCTGTGATTCTTCAGCCTCTTTTTTTTTTTTTTTTATTATTTTTTTTAATGGCTAAACACATAATCCACTCAAAATGTGTCATTAATATTGATGTGAATGTGACATGTGAGGCATGTGCTTCCATGCCATATCAGTTTTGTGGTTTTTGATAATGAACAGCAAGTTAGTTAAATTACTTGTGACTTAATGCACAGGCTGAACAAATGGAGCTGTTTGTCAACCAACGCATACAGCAGTTAAGAGCTGTGCAACTTCTTGAGTAGGATGTACAGAAATCTGTCATGAGTGTACGTTGAGATCTAGCTGTTCAGAAATGAGCCACAGACAGAACAAAGCCATTTGTTAAGAGAGATGGAAAGAAGCAGCTGTGGCATTAGGACTTGGAAAGTGTGAAAGAAACAAATACATGTCGGGGGGTCCAAATCAACCTTTGGAGAAAGCTAGTTCTTATGAAGAGGTTATTCTGTAATTTCAAACTGATCAGGTAACAGGATGTAGAACTGTATGGACAACTAGTTGGGTCTGGCAAGATGGTTCTTGTAATTTTTTACTTATCTTGTGTGTCACTTCCTATTCTGGCCTGGACAATTGTAGAAACATAGTTCTATGAATGATGTTGTGCATGAGCTGCAGAGGTTATAGGAAAATGTGTATATGGTTTCATTATGGTGATTTTGGTTAGATTTTAATAGTAATTTTTTTTAATTAAGAAAACATTTATAGTAAAAGCATTTTAAAAGATAAGTCCAGAACTAGATTCTGTAAGTCTTTAAAACAATAAATGCTTTAGAGCACTAAACTAAGCTATTTCTCGTATGCCATAGTTAAGATTTGGAATAGTTTTAGTATTAATTTTCATTAATGGATTATTCCATTAATGTCACAGTGTAATTTCCATAATAATTTTTGTATGGCTGACAGAAACGTTCCACTGCTCAAAAGGTTTCTCAGAACCTTTTCTGTAATGAGAAATCAAAGAGCAAAAGTCTTTGCCACTGGCCCTAATTTTAGTAAGGAAAAGAGCAGGACAAATAGAGGAATCTCTTCCTACCTTGGCATATTCAGTTATGTTAGAGAGCATTGTGCAAGGGCCAGGGGCACTAGTTGGCCACATTAGTTCTCCGTTGTCTCATTCAGGGGTCACTGACTTAGTCTTTGATAGAGTTTGAAACTCTGGTCTCTCTGTAGAAGTGTTATGATCTGTTCTTTAACATGTTTTTGTTGCGGTCATTGGGTTCCTGTTGTTAGTCTTGTTTTATTTTTTCTGTTTGTGTAAGCTGTGTAAATGCACAGGGATGTGTCTACTTTTGTGCTTCCACGTGGGGCTATACTGAAGTATTTCTGTACCAGTGTAGACATAACTTGTAAAAATAGATCTTATGTTTCATATCTGTTTTATGCATTTTGTATTACTTTTACTGGAACATTACAGATCTAAATAGGGTAAACCATGATCTCAGTTTTACTGAACCTGCTTACTTAATAGCACAACTAAGTTTGGGTCTGATATCTCCACTGAACCAGTGGAAATGTCTTGCATCTTGAAGTCTTTTTTTTTTCCCTCTTAAGTCTTACATCTTAGTTTTCTCCTCTGTGTTTGTGTACTGTACTTAAGCAGTTTTGAGTAGAAAATAGCTTTATTCCACCCTTCAGTTATATTATGATTAGATTTATGTTAAAAATTATTAATGGGTCATGTTACATTTATATGTCCTAAGCCATTCTAAGTATGGCTTGAATGAAGTATGTTAATGACGTACAGGTACTCTCTGTAAGCCAAGATGGTAAACATGGCATTTATTTTTTAAGCTAACTGTATTGGAGTATATTATCTGTTATAATGAAAACTTTTTTAAAAGACTATTGATATACAGATGCTTCCTCATTGGGTGTTTGCTACATTGATATTTTGGCATACAAATCCTTATTACAGAAAAACATTTCAGTACCGAATTAGTATTATTTAAATTATAACTTTGTTATGCCTCAACAAAGTACTATATATGTTCACAGGTTTTAAAAGAAAATTAAGGAATTGTGTAGCTGTAGTTGTTCTTTTTCAAAGCTTTTTCTTACCTTTTTTGCTACCAATTTTTTATTCCTTTTTTTTCCTTTTTTTTTTTTTTTTTTTGGATGTTGACAGTACATCTTAATTTTTTTTTGTTTTGATTGCCTTACTGGTTTCCTTCTCAGAATAACAACAATGACCATGCAGCTATGTCGGTAAGTAGATGCAAGATGAAGAAAACGCATGTGAACTGAAAAACTATGAACTGCCTGCAGGCTTATTGCTTCCATTTTTAATCATTTAATAAAATGACTCTTCTGTTTTGCTGATTATTTGCTGGGTACCTTGTGTGGTTGCATGCAGAAATCAGGTTAAGGGCTAACACTGGGCAGTGGGATAGCAGAAGCCCTAAAAACCTTGCAGAAGGTTGGTGGGATGTGCCTTCCATCCCAAATGAGATAATTTAGAGAAGACTAGAAGGCCTTTTGGAAGAGAGGTCAGATATCAAAATGCAGCTATGAGACATGCATACAGAATAAGGGTCAAGTGACAGAATAAAGAAACAGTGAAAGTTCCATCATTTCTCTGCTACTTCTATTTGACATCAAGTGAATGTATACGCTCTTTTTTTTATTATTTCTTTTTTTTAAGAAGGTGGTGGGTTGCATTTAAGACATCTTCCAATCCCTGATTATTTTCAGGTCATAGTTTTTTGCATATGGTCTTCTTTTGATTTGACATAAGCATTTCCATGATAGTGAAAGTGTTGAAATTAGTATTCTGTTAAGTGGCTTCTGAACCCTGAATTTCTGGACTTTTACTAATTTTCTCCAATAACTCTAATGTGGTTGAATCTGTGTCATTCACTATTTAAGTGAACAAATGTGTGAGGCACTTAGAGTGCACAGTGTGGGAATAACCCCATTAATTGCTACAGTCTGGAAAGCAATTGGCTGAATAATAGCACTGTGGATCTCAAGAAAGGATCTAGCAGTGGGCTACCAAGTTGTTAGGGGCCTAGAGCACGTGAATTACAAATTGAAGTTTGGGGAGGTGAATTAGCCTGTTGAAGAGAAGGCTGGGGAGAAACCTGGTGGCAGCCTACAGCCTCTTGAAGGACAGATACAAACATGATGGAGCTGAACTCTCTGCTCTTGGTTGGACTGACAAATTCACGTGTGGCTGTGGTCCAAGGCAGAAGCTTGGGACATGAAGCTCTGATGTTAGGGAAAAGTTTGCATGAATAGAGTAGTGTAGTGTTGGAAGAGGTTACCCAGAGAGGCTGTGGGATTCCCATCTCTGGTTTGTTTGAAGGCTCAGCCAGAAAAAAGGGCAACGAGTCTGAACTATTTTTTTATTATTTTTTTCAGTAGTCCTGCTCCAGGGAGTGGGCTGGACTCAGTGCCGATGGTGATTCATTCCAATTACCATTTCTATTATTTGAATACTAAGTGTCATGCTGAACTATCAAGCTACTAAGTTAATTTGAAATTACAGAGGGGTGAACCTATGTGTTTTTAATCTAAGTGTTATTCTAGGTATGTTTTCCGTTAGTTAGTATTGAACAACTCTTTGGAAAAAAAAAAAAAGGCAATTGAAAAGTAACAGCTACAAATTACTTTCAAGTAGTTGTTTTTTAATATTTTCAGTATAATTTGGGGTAGAGACTAAAAGTAATACTGAGTCTTAAAAATTCTATTAGTGTTTGTTAATATAGTTGTTTTTTGTAGGTAGTTCAAAAGTTGGATTGTAGTCCCACTGTTAAATAATACCATGAGTTAGATAAAATCTGCATGTTTAATTTCTTTGCATTTTCAGAATTTTTTCATTGTCAATTCATTTTGATAAATTAATTCTTCAGCTTAACTTCGTAGATTTAACAGATACGTTTTGTTATTTTCTTTTATGCTGAGGATGGCATTTTGTGTTATTTTATTGTTTGTGTGATTGGCAGCAAAAGCCTAATTTCACAGATTGCAGTGAGGGTGAAGGGGTGGTGGTTTTCTGGAACTATATTGAAAAACTGTCAATCAACAGCCTCCACAGGCTACTTAGAAAATGGGTTTATCTTACTGATTTATCCAAATGCTGCTTCATGCTGTCTTTGATTGGCACAGCTTGGCAGGGAGGATGGATGAATCTGTCACTGGCTGGTTAATTGTGTTGCTGGTCTCAGCCTGACATCAGGTCTTTGACTCCTAAGTAGCTCAATACAAAACAAATTAGCAGATTGTAGTCATATTTCTCATTCTATATGCTTTGACTTTGTTGAATGCAGTCCATAAATCATATTGACTGACACCATAGTGAATGATGAAAGCTGCTTTTGAGGCAGCTAGCATGGGTCTTAGAAAGCAGTACTGCGAAGGTGCCATGGAAGGATGCATATGGCTGACCCTTTGGGAATTTCCTAGGAGCCAAATGTCTCTTTACTGCAATTGTTCTTGGGAGAAAAGCTTTGGGGTCCTATAAAAAAGGATTTAATAAGTCAGCAGATTCTCTTTACAAGCTCCTTTGAAATACAAGAAGTTTGTCTAAGGGTTTTCTCTTTTTACAAACTTGTATTTCAGCAAAATGTGAAGGCTGAGTGAAAAACCAGTTGCCTTTAACACTGTTAGCAGGTGTTTTTGCTTATAGAATAGGGTCCTTGTTTTGTAAACTCTCCATTGGTTGAGTGCAAGAATAGGTTTTGTGGACAGCAGCAATTAGCATCGCAGAGCAGAGATAATAGCGGTGTCTCCAAATGTGAGGCAAATGGAGCGAATGTGAGAAGCCTGCTGAATCTCTGCATGGTATTAAACATAGTTATTTAATTGCTACATACAGTAACCAGGCCATCCCCCCATTAAAAAATAATAATAGTCATTAAAAAAATCCAAACTGACAAATAATAAACATTAGGAATGTTTTCAAGCTAACTGAGATTTGTTTAATTCTGGAAAAGAAACGTGTTATTGTTCTGTTCATTAATCCTTAAATTTCCTCTTCAAAATGCATTATGAAAAAAATGTCAACGAATTTATTGATTGGTGGATGGTGGAAATTTGTAGAGAGAGTTTTAACTAGATCTCCTTCTTCAAACACAAATTTGAATTCATTTTCTGAATGTTGTATACCAAATGTATTTTGAACTGGGAAGTGCTGAATTTTTAAGAGGATAACAGTAAAGTTCACATTTCTCTCACTTAAAATTCAGCATTTTGATTGATACACATAGCTTCATTTTTTTCTAGATTTAAGAAAATCGAGTGATTTATTGAGTAAGTATAAACGGTACAGTAAAATTCTGTTATTTGTTGATATGTCATGTGAACAATAAGCCTGTAGTTCAAGTTACATAGTTGGAAATAGTTTAAATGTTAGGATGCTTCTATTTTATGAAAGTTTAAAATAAGCATTAAGTATACATGTATTGATACTTACTTAAAGTCCAAGTGGCTTTTACCATGTCATTTCTGTATTGTAACCATTACCTTGTGCTCCAGTACTATTAATATTTGCCAGATTTTAACAACTTGCTACAGGTGTTTGTGAGAAATATAAAATTCTGTCTTTTATTTAAAATAATGGAGGAATATACATTGTTTGCATATAAAATAAATTGGATGTTAAAATTTTTCCTGACAACATATTAATCTGGTATAGCTTTTATTACACGACAGTGGCAGCATAAATAGGACGTGGAGCTGATTTGATGGAGCAGTACATTAAACAGAGATGCACTTATTGTTCCATTAAATCAAAATAACATTTCCATTAAGTGTTCCAAACTACACTGTAATTAAATGAACTGTGGCCCATTGATTCCCCTTCTCACCTCCTTTTTTTCTTCTTTTCTCTCCCCCTTTTTTTTTTTCCTCTTTTTTTCCCCATTCATATTGATATTATTCTGCTTGGGGAATAGAGCTGCATGTCTCCCAGTGTAATTAACATTGGGTTTGGGAGACTTAAGCATGCTGTTCTTGCATTGTTTCTTACATTCCTTGTTGTCAGTTCATTTATTTTGGTCAAAAATGTTATTTGCTTTTCTGAGTTTTTCAATTAAGAAACTGACATTTAATTTTAGATATAAAGCTCCTAACAGTTCAAGGTGTCTGAATACTGAAGAGGCATTAGCAAAAGCCATGTAATGTTTCAGTGTGACATGTGAGAAGAGGGAATGCTTTCCATTGTATTGTCTACATTTTAATGACATTTTAAAGAATTAATTTTTAAAGTACAAAATATTTAGGGCCGTGTTTGCTTTCTGTTATATGTGTATGTGAAAATTCAATTCTATGAGTAAGTTGTCTTATTAAGGACGAGATCTGCCTCTTCAGATACAGGAGCAGAACTTTCCAGTTTTTTTGGAAGAGCAAACTGCTGTCTGTCCTTACCATTTTTCATTGCTTACTTGTGTTTCTGTGAGTCAATGGTGAACTGATCAACCTGACCGCAGAAAACTGACTGCTGTAGAGAACAGGTGACACCACTTTACTGATGGATATAAGTACAACTGTAGTGGTGTGTGCTCCAGTAGGTGTATTATGGAATTATTATTTCTTTCTTGTGAGTGTGTTAATAATTACCTTTGATTCAATATATATTCTAATACAGATGTCAGTTGAAAAGCATATTTTAAGTGCCATGTTAAACTACAGAGATTCATATAATAGCATTTGAAAGCCAGAATTGCTCTGCTCTAAAAGATTGCAGTGCTATGAATAGAATGGTGCCATTTCATCAAGTGTCTGGTCTTAATGGGTTTTCTTTGTTCTAAGGCAGAATTTCCATATCTTTCTTTTTTTTCTGTACTACATTTTTAATAATTTGTCAAATTAATATCTCATTTTATGCTTCGTGTTTTGGTCTCGTTTGGAAAATTATTTGTCTCAATGGCATGCATATAGTAAGGAGGAATGTTACTAACTAGGCTGTGGTTGGAAAATTATTTCTGTTTTGTACAGCAGAGGGCTACATTTCGTTTTCTAAGTATTTGATTATGGTCAGCACTGACTTATTAAGTACCTGAAAAGATGATGGAGAAGCGTGACTATTTTCAATAATTTAGCAACAAGCTTTGAGGCGGAATTCAAGCAATTAAAGTGCCAATCATTAGCACAAGCTGTTATGCTAAGTGCCCCAACTGAAGGCATTGGTTTTGGTTTACACAAAGTCTGGGGATTTTAACTATTGTTAAAAATATGCAGCATGTTGATTTCCATTACATTCTTGCTTTCATTCTTTTTGGGTAAAAAGAATTAAATAAAATTGCAAAGCTGTTCATATGCTTCATTAACTTATATTGTTATTATTTTGGAAATGTCCTTGTATTTGTGAAGACCATTGGATTTTTGGAAGAAATATCAATAATTGATTTAGCATATGTTTAATTTAGTTCTCCAATTGATTTAATAGAAACAAAGCTAGTGAGTCAGAGAAATAACAGCAAGTGTGATCTTTCTCCTAATCTAAGTCCTGCATCTTTTAAGATTTTAGATGTGTATTAAAATCAAATCAGATAAGCATTTATTTAGTGACATATCATTTGTTTCTATCTTAAAACCTATTGCTCTTTCTACTAGGGAAAAGTTGCCCAGACAGCTTGCATGTCAGCCTGCCAGCATCTTTCAACATCCCTAATGCAGATGCTACTGGACACTGAATTAAAACAAATAAGCATGGGAGCAATTCAGCAGTTTAATTTAGATGTGATACAATGTGAATGTAAGTAGATGTTCCAGTATTCCTATTTATATATCTGTCTTAACATTATCAAAAAAATGTTTCCTTTAAGCCATATAGTGATATTTTTTCCATAATCTACTAACTCTTTGTCTTTTAAACAAAGAAGTTATTACAGTACAGCTTCTTGTATAAGTACTTAGGAGTAAGTATGTTAACATGTCTGGGAAATAATTTTATGAAACTTTATTTTTTTTATGTCAAGGATCCAATTGAAAGATACACCTGTTGTTATCCCAGTTGAATGATAACTGCAATAACCATTAAAAAGACTATAGTCTAGTACCAAATTGTGCAAAACTACATAAATATAATACTCTTATAGTTGATGACAAAAAAAGGTAAAATATTTGTGAAATTTCAATTTTCCCACTTCAGTTAATTTATTATGATGCAAATTTTAAATATACTGTTACATGGGGTTTCCTCCCTCCTAGAATTATTGTTACCATAGTCACTGTGCAGAATAGTAGCAATCATTTAGTAAACATAAGATGTGGTTTTAGTCTCACTGTTCAAAATATGGCATCAGAATTATTTTACAAAACTGGTTCAATCCAGAACTGAAGGCAGGATTAATTTCCTCATGTTTTGCTGAGGGTGAGCTGTTAATCAGTATGAGGGAAGTTAGTTCCATAACATGGCTAGATTATGAATAGGTTTTAGGTCTGGTTTTAGACTTGATGACTGAGATGCAGTAAAAAAAGGCACACTAGTTTTTTTTCAATGTGTATTTTTTTATTTTATGCTCTGTTTTTTTCAGAATATCTTTCCTCTTATGTCTTTGAAACACATCTCAATGATTTTGCTGAATGCTGTAAAATGAGGTCGTTCTGAAAGTCATATCCTGAGGCTTTTGGTTTTCACATGGGAAAAAACTTGAATACTCAATTAGCAGCCACCTATGGGAAACAGAAAATTTGATTTCAGGCAGTGTTGTTAGCATCACAAAGGGTTCTTGTGAGAGCCCAGGAACAGAGTTAAGAGGCATTTTTTGACATTTTAACCATACACTTGTCTTACCTTCCACGTTGTTACATTCCAGCTAAAGTCTGTAACAGGTAGAGCAAGTAGGCATCTTTCTGACAGTCCTTTATTATCCAGCCTTAAGGCCTTTCATTGCGTGGAATGAACTGACGAGATTACCAGGGTTCAACTGAAAAGGTGTTTGTGATCATGACATTAAGGTTTGTCTCATGATTGCACAAGTTGGCCAAACAGATGATGATTTCATTCTTTTACTTTTAAAAAGCTTGATGTTGAAAATTTAATAGTGTTCTTTTTAGGTGAGTAGGAGTATGTGGATGTGCGTTTGTGTAGTTTTGTGGGTGTAAAAAACATCCCAGTTGTAAACACAGAGATTCCATAGTATTAATAATACTGTCACCATGATCATTAATCTAGACAAGCTGAATTGCTGCACCCACTATATGGTCGTCTGCCTTCTGAACAAACAGTGTAACATGAAAGAAAACTTGTCCACTACCATATTACTGTTCCTAGTATTTAAAATGTGAACAACACAGTACTTCACTACTTGGGGACTTGGGGATTTCTAGCAGTAGAGGAGATAAAGTGCGTGCCTTGCAGGTGACTTTCACTGCATGAACAGGTATGTTCACAGCAAAGTAAGAGCTTGTTTCCAGACTTTTTTCTTCTCAGCTTTTGCCCAGTTGTATATCATCCTCATTTCTACTACCACTCTTTCTACCATCTTTGATTGCTACAGAATGGAAGCTTCCATCAGTGAAGAGATCATAGTAGAGTTTTGTTTAGTCTAACATTATAACATTTCATTATTTTAAGATTAAATATAACCTTAATATAGCATGTTTTATGTATGTAGCTGTTCACACTGGGCATATGTCATGAACAAGACATGGGAAATATTGGGCCAAAATGAGAAAGTTTCAGCTAGTAACCAGAAATACTGAGAAATACATTCTTTCCACCATTGCGTAACTTCTAGTGTGGGCTGTACAGATGCAAATAGAATAAACTTGAATTTTTCATTTGTGCAAAACTTCTCAAGTGCGTTAGGAAAAAAAAATAATTTGCACAGAAACCATTTGAGTAGTTTGCATATAATTGTAGAAGCTTGTCAGAATAGTATGCTGCAAAAAATGACACCTTACAATTTGTGGAATAAGGGATTGACACAAGATTTTGCTCAGACTGCTTTGCTGTTGTGGTTTCATTCATAAGGTCTGTCGCAAGCACATTCCAGGTCTCACTGTGATGCCTGTGATTTATGTTCTTGCTCATCACCCTCCCCCAGCTTTATTCTTTGACACTTTGGGATTAATGGGTATGACAGTGACATTTGAATGAGTGCTTAGAGTGTGCGAATAACTCACAACTACTGAGTAGTTTTCTACTGTATTGCATACATGGGTTTGACATTTTATTTAGACACAGTGCAGCATGGTCATATGCTTTTTGAACTGAAGGTTATGTGAGATGTAAAAATTCATGAATATCTGAAGATGCATTTTTAAAATGTCTTGGCAATATTCTAGAAATTTATTCTGATCTTTAACATTGCATTTTTATTATTTTCTAATATGAACCGGAGGAGATCTAAATAACAGCAGGAAAATGTGAGTGCTTGTCAGATTTTTCTTTTGCATTTAAAAACAATCAACAGTGCAACCAGCAACCCAACAATCTGTTCATGAGCAGCAATCTGTTAAAGTCAGTGAGTGTTGAGGTTCTTAATCACAGCAAATAGGTGGAACAATAAGTGGACTTCTAAAAAAGGAAGGTGGAAGGGAAGGAGGTGATCTTGTGGTGAACTCTGGAATTTCATTATCCTGCACTGCATTTCTATGCAAAGTACCTAACTTTAAAAAGCAGAGCAGAAAGTCTGGAAGTATCTGCTATTTTTGCTTTAGAATAGTAATAGTATGAGGTGGTCTTCTCTGATGATTTATTTATATGTTTTAAAGTTATGGCCTTCTTGCTCTGCTTCTAGTAAGTTTTTTTGTTTTCCTTCTAAATTTTCCAAAAGCTTCAGTTTTACTTCAGTTTGTTATATTCTAACTGAAGTATTTATCCATTCTCCCTACATATTTTATAACTTAGAGCAGTGTTTTACCTCTGTATTTCACACTATTCTTTCTCAATGGTGATCTTTCACTAGGGTGATTTGGATTCTGACAACAAGATTCAGTACTAGGTCACATTTAATATAATCCAAGAAAGAATTTTTTTGCTTGAACATTGCATTTTAGTGCCTGAGGAGGGAAACTGGTTGGAGAGGCATTTTGCCTTTTCTTGAAGATGAAATTCAAATTTGGATTGCTGTATCTCACTCTGAGAAGCAAGATGTATATAATAGAATGTGAGATTTTCAGGTACACCATCCAGATCTAGACACCTTACATCAGCATTTCATTAAGGAATTAGAACTATCAAAAATTCTGATTGTTGGAAGAGTTACCAATAATTTTTTTGTGCTTTAACTAGCTGAATTCTGAGACAGGTTTAATAGGCAGAAGGTGTGGTTGGGTAGGCATTCTTCTTCAACTGAGCATGAATCTGTGCCAGGATTAAAAGGTTTTGGGTCCTGCCTATAAACGAGCATGGGTTAGTGGAGAATTAGCACAAAGGAGAATGCAGTATACCTTCCTAGCCAGCTCTGGGTTGAGCTTCTTGCCAGTCCCTCCTTATTCACCCACTGTGGTTGAGAGCTGTGGTATCCAAGAGCAAGAGAGACCTTGGTTCAGGTGCTCTCTGTTGCACAGACAGAAGTGTTCTCCAAGTGGGCATGCCAGAAGCTGAGGAACCCAAATCCTGTTTTTCCTTGAAATGGCACAAGATTCTCTTCTGGAGGCCCCTCAGTCTACCTGCTTCCTCTCCCATCTGGGAAGTCAGGTTAACATAGCTCGCATGGGACCATCCTTCATCTGGTGGTCACATATGGCAGCATTAGGGTGTGGGGAAGCAGCAAGAGCTCGCTGATGCTGTGGGCAGGGCTGGAGGCTAATGCTGGGGGCAGGGCTGGAGGCTGCTGCCTGGCCAGCTGGCAGCCCCCTCAGTGAGGCTCCCCTCCAGGCATGTTTGAACAGCTGGAGCATCCAACAGGGCTGCAAAGTGGCTGAGGGCTGCTGAGGTAGTCACCTGATTCTCCGCCCTTCCTCAAAAAATATATTTGTAGCTTTGCTGTCCTGCCTTTGAATCAGTGCTGTGAGGCTTAAGTAAGACTGTCCTTATTTAGCTTTTTGTCCAAAGTCTGGTCTCTGATTTTTAATTTCTGCCATTGAGCAGCAAATCTGTCAGACCAACAGAGATGCACACACAGATGTTGGCTAAAAGGTGAGGTTTTGAGAAAATAAAATTAAGAGACCTGTTAATAAATCCAGAAGTGCTTAGAAATTCAGTAAAATTTACAGTTACAGATGTCTTAAATTCTGTTTCAGCAGACACAGCCTGTTTCTTAAGACATCCATTGGCACATATATACATCAATTCACATTTATCCCATATACAAAATGTAATTAAAAGATAAAGTACTCAAAAGAAAATGGACCAAAGTTATCTTTACAATATTTAAATTTACCACTCTTGTCTATGTGTTACCTCCCAGACTGTTTTTATATTATTACATACTTTTTCATCAGATACTATCCCTTGTAAATTCCCGAACTGGCTGTTCTAGGAATTACATTAAGACTGTACATATTGAAGACAAATGTTGTGCCAAAGATCCTGTTCTGTGTATGCAAAAAAGATCTAGACAGTATCAGCAAAGTGTAGAAGGTTTTAAAAAAAATCTTGTGAATACCAGATTCTCGTAATGCATACATTCAGCTTAATATAATGAAAACATTTAAGTTTCTGATTCAAACTGCCAAGCAGCTAGATATTTGCCCCTGGGTGTGACAGTTTAATGGTGATCTCTGCATTTTCACGCTCTTATATTATAAAATTCCTAAATGCTCTTACACATGCTAAAACAACCGATTAACCAACCCCTTACCTCTCCAAATCCTCTTTAAGCCTAGAATGAATGTAAGGGGTAAATATTTTAAAATATGTATATATGACAATATTTCATTACTATCTGGAAAAGGACACTCTAGGATGAAGACATTAAGAATGTTAATCCTGTTCTTATATCTTCCCAACATGCTGTGCAGTAGAAAATGTTTAATTAGCTTTGTAAAACTGTTAGCTAAACTTAAAAACTGAGGGTAGGGGAGGGAATTCTCTGGCCATGACCATAAGCAGATTATCTTTTTGCCCTTTAAACTATTGAAATTGTAATAATGAAACAAATTCTGCTGTAGTCACCTGTCAGAAATGCCCCAAATGTAAGAATAAATTAAATCATACTGGTTTATTTAATGTATTAAGATAAATTCCAAGCTATATTAGACTAATGATCTGCAGAAAAGATGCAAATACTTGCCCTGTGGCAAACAGAAGAATCCTGCTGTATAAAGGTATCTCCTAGTGTAGTGCTAATAGCTAACTGAAAATTCTGCTGCAGGCCACACTTTTCAGTTATATACACTTTTCAGTTCTGTAACCATTTCTTTTCTGTAGAGCTTCCCTCTCCCAATGCTACCATTGTGGAGTGGCTGGAGGAGCTTGGATTCTAGTGGAGGAAGCTGGTCTCATTGTACTGTGGACAAATGAAAAGATATACAGAATCGGATACAGATGGGCCTTATCTTTCAAGATAATAGGTTATCCTTCCTTGCTTTGGGGATGTAGAAAAGACCCCTTCTGATCATCCAGCTTATCTTCCTTAGTGTGCTGCCATAGCTCACAACCCATGTATCTGTTTTAACTGTATGTTATGGGGCATTACTGAGAATTCCCTCATACAGGATGGTGTTCCCATTTTAAACACCAGATTTGGCTCATCAGAAGGGCCAGCATCATGGCCCTGTCTATCCCTGAAGAAAGGGTGATCCCAGTGGCCATTAAATACTTGCGGCCTGGAGATCTTTTATTTTTCTGCAGGTTGGTGGTTTTACAGACTCTTTTCTCTTTGCTGCTTTTAAGGACTATTATTAGGCAAATTATTAAATGCTGGGTTTAGGATACGCTTTTTCTACTATTTTTTGTCTTCCCTTTATTTAAAATGCATCTTTGTAGTAGATTGGAACTCCCTGAAAACTCTCATAGAGCTGGCATTACTTACAAAGCAGGAAAACAAGCAATTTAAAATTCAGACTTGAGTATAGTAACCAGTGAGCATTTGCTGTTACCAATACTTACTTGTTTGTGACATTAGAGTACTCTCTAGGGCATTTGATTGCTGTTTTTTATTCCTTTAATTGATAAAGAATCAAGTAATATTCCAGTTTAATTCATTCTCCTATTACATGACTGTCCATAAAAATTTTTGCACTGCTGTAATACAAGTAATAAATTCTGCTGACAAAGCTGCTGCTCTGATATTATATTAATCTATTACTGAGCTCTTCTTAGATATTCTGAGGTGGTCTTTGTAGCTTCTTGTACTTCTTAAGTAAGAATCTTTATTATTTGCATTTACATTGAGTTCCACATAACCACTTTTAGACTTGTGAATATCCAAATTCATTAGACTGCTTTAAATTGAAACTATACCTTCAGAAGTAAATGACTGAAGCCATTATTTTACCATCATGTTAGTTCAGTTTTTCTGTGTGTTACTTTCACTTCATGATCCACATTTTCTAGCTAGCAATTTTAAAAGTATTTTAAAGGACTTCACATTATTTTTAAACATCACTATGAGTTCATGGGGCACTAGAGTTGAGCACTGCATTTGGAAATGTTTTGGATTCATGTGTTGTTTCCTCTACTATTGAATGACCTATGTCTAAAACTTGGAAAAAAACATGCCTTTTCCTGCCTCAGATAACACCTCTCTAAAATCATTCCACTAGTATCCACTTAGTTTTGTTAAAAACTCTAACTGTGCTCTCCTAAACTCTTTTGAAGTAAGATGTCTAAATTGAATGGGAATGTGGGGCAGTGGGAGTTTCTGCAAGTGTCTTTGTTACAAATGTGATTGGGATAAGAACAACAGAAAAGATATTTACTTATAAGTTTGAGAATTATTGATGATTTTGTAATTGAAAAAGAAAGCTGACCTTTTCATTACACTTAAGTGTTACAATTTTTTAAAAAGTGCTTGGCATAGTTTTGCCTACCAATTTTGTCAATCTGTTTTTGGGTTCAAGAAGAGCAGAAGTTCTTTAATGATAAACTGGCTAAAAGGCATGAACAGGCATTTTGGGTCTGCTCTGACATTGGCACATAGATCTTTCCACTTCTCCTCTACACATGAAACTAACTCCCACCTTTGTGTTTGTCTTTTATTGCTGTTTGGCTAGAGGTAGAGTTTTTATAGAGCGGATGCTGTAACAAAAGCAGATGTTGGAAAATATGTTGACAGCCATGGAATTGATATGATTTTGAAATTCTTCAGTAATTGTTCACCTCAGGCCAAAAAAAAGATGTTGGCTTCTGTGGGACATTACTACTGGTTTAGAATTTTAAGCAAAATACGTAATGATACTCCTGAAAGTGTTATTCTTGGGAATTATTGGAGCTGAAAAAATTATGAGAAGGTTATTTGTTGGTATGTTTGCTTTTAATCAGCGGCAGTTGTGATCTATTTCTGCCAAACTTGTTTAATTTTGATGCTAATTTATAATGCAAAGAGCTTGATTTTCTGTTAAATTAAAAAAAAATAAAATTAAAATATCTGCATCTGTAATATTTTTGACCTTTTCTTGCAGTGTTTGCTAGTTCTGAGCCTGTGCCAGGATTCCAGGGAGACACCCTGCAGCTAGCTTTCATCGACCTCAGACAAGTAAGACACTAGTTGTTGTTTTTTATCCTACTAATTTCCCCTTTTGACCAGCGCTGAAGTTATTAAATTCAAGAACCTTTCATGTTTTAGCATTCCCATGTAATTAGTTTTGAAAAGCGGTTATTTGAAGTGTTATTAGTGGCATTATTCCCTGTAATTTAGCATAAAACTGTTTCTCCAGTGTGGTGTTAGGGGGCACTGTGCTACTGGTGGTACTGTGACATGGATATAGGATGAAATTTTGATCCTAACAATTTTGTAAACATCCTGTGACGCCTTTTTGCAAGAGCGTACATGTTACCTTGGTGTGTCCTAGCCTGATTCAATTCTGAGCAATTGCTCCTGCCTACAAAACTACTCCCTGGAGAGCAGAATTGGGCATGGTATTCTTTAGCATTTCCTTTCCTTGATTTGTTGCGTAGAATTCTCTTAAAACTATTAGAAAGCAGCTTTATTCCAACTGGCTGATCTTTATTCTATATAAAATTTAGTTTTAAATGCCTGATGTTGGAAGCCCTTTTCCACAGTTCTTGGCAAAAAGAAGGTTTTTCCAGACTAAAATCTACTTATCTTAATTTCATATAGTTATTTCAGTTCCCTGTTCTCTGTAAATTCAGACACTGTATCCACCCATAGCAATTAATTTTGATAAACTTTTCATACTTGAAGTAAGCTTTTAGAAAGGGTTTATTATTTCACAAAATTGTGAGTATAAGTGTCATGTAAATAGTGAAATGAATCATTATCTGCACACGGAAGGTTTTAAGTTTTCTGCAGATGCTGACGGTCTTTTTCAGCACCATTATGAGCCTGTCAAAGTCATCAGAAAAGAGAAATATAGAAATAATTCCAGATGAAAACTACCTATATGGTAAGAATATTTTTGCTTTTAATAGTTTAGTAGGTTTCTCAGAAGATATTTCAGAAGGGAAAATTCCTGAGCCAAAAGTATTCCAGTTTCTTCTAATACTTACAAAGGACTTCATTAAAGCATATTTTTAAATGAACAAGTTAAAAGGTAGAGTTGTCTGTTACATTCTCATAGTAATATAACAATGAACAGTATCTACAATGGGACAGCCATGGACGAGGTGAGCATGTAGGATTGTGGCCATAAGATTTGTTCATGTGGTACGTGCACATTAAGAGTTCCAGGATTCAGTATGTGAAGATGTGCTCTGCCAGACTTCAAATACCACAAGTCTTGTCTTGACTAGCAGCCTTCCGCTTTTGGATTCTTTTTATTCTCCTTTTATTATTAATGTTAGAAGTGACTAAATATCTTCCAATTTGTACTAAATTGGTTTAGATGAAGGGAAAAGATGTTGAGAGATTTTGGCACCATTTCTGTCATCCACCTAAGTAGTATAAATCCTTGCAGAGCCTATGTTTGTTTCCAGGAAAAACATGATTTGCAGTTATGCAGGAGGGCAGGGTGTGTACATACCTGCTATAGGAAATAAATAATATTTTTGTATGTTGAGCATGTTGCATAAATAGCAATTATGTTGCTTATGATACCTCTCAGTTTATGTAACCAGCTTACATGTAGAATTCTCTAAATGCAGGTAACTCATTATAGAGAATGCTCTGTATGACATAGGAATCTAATCAATTTCAGATACTTTATAAACAGCAAAAGTCTGGGCAACCCCCTTTGTTGGGTTGTAGTTGGAACCTGTAGATGTAGAATAGTTCTAGCATATTTGTTTTGTTTTTTACCATATTTTTGTTGTCTCATCAAAAGATATTGCAAGCACACATTAAAAACATTCACCATTTAGTAAGGATTTGCAATGTTTTCCCTCTCTGCCTTATTTGTGATCCATTTCTATCTTAATAGGGTAGATGACAGTTCTTTTCAAGAATACTTAGAAAGGCAATAGAGCCTTGTTCAGAAAGTTCTTATAAAAGGTCATGCTTCTGTTTTTTAGTTCGAATCTGATACTTCTTCATGAATTGCAGGATATGAAAGATAAGGAAGTAGGTCCAGTGGTCAGGTTTTACCTGCCCACCCAGACTGTGCCCTGAGGTCAAACTCCTGATATTGGCTGTTTGGTACAGAGGAGCTGATGACAGGTAGGGGCTGATACAAGGGGGAAAGCTTGAACCGTATCAAAGCTAAAAGGCAGGAGATTTGGGACTCAGTGAGAGACTGTAGCTAAAAGATGGATCAGCAGGATTGCCCTCTTCTTAAAAAGCAGCTGACCTGCAAGGGAAAAGACTTTATCGTCCTGCCAATCACATGGTTGCTAATGGAAGCCAGTTATCTCAACAACAGCTTACTCTCCCTCTGTTGTACTAAGGCAATGTGTAAGATTACCAAGGATTGGGCAGTGGAATATCTTAGCACATTTTACTGAAGAAGTAAAGTCACTTACAAGGAGCCAGCTTGGAAGACAGAGTGAAGAGCTACATTTGGATGATCACTATTAGGGAAGGAGGAGCTTCGAAAAGAATTTCCATAGGTATTTTCATCTTAACAGCTGCTGATCTTGTCTTTCACTGAAGACAATGTATGGATAGCATGTTGTCCTCAGCAAGCCCACTTTTTTCCTTCTTCCTTCTGCAGACATAGAAGAACAAACAGAGGGAGAAATGGTTGGCGTGAGAACAAGTTGCTTCTGAGAAAAGAACAGTAGTTAGTAGCAAGAAGCTCTAAGAGGCCAGGCATCATGAAGGGGTTACAAGTGCCTTTGATGCGGCACCTCTTTCTCCTTATACTGTCTCCTCTTATCTTGCCATAAAAAGCTCCTTAAAGATCTTAGTGATCTGTAGCAATCCTAGTCAATACAGATCTTAGCTCTGTTCCCATAACCATAATATTTCAGCATCTTACAAAAGGTGACTTGATGTGGTTGACTAATCACATGTAGTGCATTTGTTCTCTATTCTGTTTTCTTCTGCCAGGAGGAAAACTGTGCATAGATGACTTTCTGATTTTTATATTTTTTACTGTGCTCTGCTATGCATGTTTGGCAGATAAGACAGAAAATAAACTGGGAGGAGGCACAATTTTTGAAGATCTTAAAATCTTATATATCACATAAAGTAACTTTAAAAGAAAAAATTAATCCAGGATGATTTCATGTTTGCACAGTCTTTTCTATGTGAGTGTTTTACTTGAAGTGAAAGGTTCCATTTAATTGCTTCGTGCTAATAGGTAGGTAATAAGTGTAGTAAAAAACACTTGGCTTTTGCATCACTGGAAATCCTTGTATCTATAGCAGCCAGTGGACTGTTCTCCAAAGCATATGTGTACCTATGTAGTTGGGCTATGCATGGGCTGATGTAAGAGGAGATTGTGCTTCAGACCCAGGAAGGTGCACAGTGGCTGCAGAACCATGAAATGACACACAGCATTCTCTTCTAAGAAATACCTGAAGTTTACTGCAAGGAGAACACCAATGTGCAATTCCCCATACTAAAAGAGAATTGCATGGCTGTGATAATCTAGAAACTTGTAGGTTCAGCTAGTTTAGCAGCTCCTACAGCAGGAAGCAGCTGCTAAGAAAAATTGAGATAGATTTGTGGTTCTTTACAGCTGCAGTAACTGTGTCATGCCTCATGCCATATGTCTTACTGTATGACCTGAGGTCATACCTCCATGAACCCCTTCACCCCACTTACTTAAAGCCACTGAGGAACAGGTCAGCTCAGGAAGGTGAGTATCAAAGTGGCATGTGCTGCTTTAAAGACACTGGTCCCTGGCATCTTGTGAAGATGACCCAGCTCTCCTGCAACCTCTACCACCTCTGAAGGTAATCTTTGCCACTGTCTTTATAGGGAGCCTGAGTAAATAGAGCAGTAGCCCAAAGTGAGGTGGAACAAACTTTGGGAATTTTGCTACCAGTTCAGATCCTAGATCAACTGGAATTAGCCTTCAAAAGTAAGCAGGTCTTAGTTTGTCCTACGTGAATTAGAGAAAGCTTAGCCTTCAACATTAATTACTTTTGTCCTGGTTACGGTCTGTTCTTTTGTGCCTAAAGACTAGGGTTACAGCTCTGGAATGTGAAGCAGTTTCTTGAATGTCCTGGACACTTGAATACTGTGAGGAAAAGGCCTGAATCTTACAATTCTTGCATCATTCTTTTGAGAGCCAGTGTAACGTGTAGTGAACAAGAACGATAAGCTTGTGATGGCCCGAGACCAAGAGTTGCTGTCCTAGGGCAGATTTCCTGATTCTTAATCAACTGAATGGTAACAGATGCCTCATGGTAGGACAAGGGATAATGTTTTTAAACTGAAAGAAGAGGGGAGATTTAGGTAAGACATCAGGAAGAAATTCTTTATCATGAGGGAGGTAAGATGCTGGAATAGGTTGCCGAGGGAGGTTGTAGAAGCCCCCTCCCTGGAGGTGTTTAAGGTCAGGTTGGATAAGGCTTGTGCAGCCTGTTCTAATATGAGGTGTCCCTGCTCATAGCAGGGGGACTGGAGCCTGATGATCTTTAAGGTCCCTTCCAACCTTAACCATTCTATGATTCTTGAAATAAAATAATTGCCTCCAGAGTTACAACCTAAGCTGCAAATGTAGCTTAACTTTTTTTTCACTTTAGAATTAGCAAGTTCTCTCTAGTGTTTCTTTCCACCACAGCACTACTTCAGTTTCAGACAGGCTTTCTTCCTCTACTGTCAGATCTCAGACAAGTACTCTGCTAGCTTGATGGTTGTGGAATTTCCTTATTTTCCCAATGGTGGTGAGAAGTCTCTAATATCTGTCTTCTTTTTGCACTTAAGTACGTTACTAATACAATCCAGTTGCTGTCAGTGCTGGGCTTTCAACAGGGGCAGCCATCTCTAGTAAACATAATCAGATGCTGTTGGGTTGCCTGTTAATTTACTTTGTAATGAGTCTTGTGGTATGTTGTTGGTGAGACATATTGCTTACCTTCTGAACTGCAGTGTTGCATGCAACAGATACAAATCTATTTGAAGGAGAAAATTCTTACTAGTACTTAATATAGTCCTATTTGTTCTTTGCTTCTCATTCATCACTGAGA